TGCTTTTTCAGGAAGTTTCTTGAGCAAATGCTGTAGTTGCTTTTGGTAACTCTCAGTGGGATCATAGGGTAATGGCTTGTAGAAACTCGTGTTGGAGAGCTGCCGAGCAGCCTCTTGTTCATATTCCGACCTATTCATGATGACAACAGCACCTCCTTTGTCAGCCTTTTTGATTATGATGTCAGAGTTGTTTCTGAGGCTGTGGATGGCATTGCGTTCCGCATGGCTGAGGTTATGGGGCAAGTGATGCTGCTTTTCCACAATTTCAGCCCGTGCACGTCGGCGGAAGCACTCTATGTAGAAGTCCAGTCTGCTGTTTCGACCTTCAGGAGGAGTCCATCTAGAATCCCTCTTTCTGTAGTGTTGGTAGGGAGACCTCTGTGGATTAGTATGTTGTTCAGAGTTATTTTGGAAATATTCCTTGAGTCGGAGACGTCGAAAATAGGATTCTAGGTCACCACAGAACTGTATCATGTTCGTGGGGGTGGAGGGGCAGAAGGAGAGGCCCCGAGATAGAACAGCTGCTTCTGCTGGGCTGAGAGTATAGTTGGATAGGTTAACAATGAAGTGATTTAATGATTAGATGAAGTGGTTTAATGATGAATTGTGTAATAGTAATCATACTTTGCCCCTTATTAAAGGAGGACCCAGGGGTCTAAGCAGCTCTCATGATTACAATGCTACTTTCCATACTAGAAGATTTCTCAAATAAGCATTTAAAAGGGGCTTTTTAGAACCCTTTATTAAAAATAGTCTCTATCCAGTGTTCTTAAACTAGTATTTTGTTGATGGTTCTTGCTTAATTAGGTTTCCAGTTTTGAGCATTAAAAAGCTGGAAGCTAGAAAAGCCTTTTTGTGCCTCTGATAAGCTTTTGGCATGAACTGAAGATGACCTGGATTTCCATACTTTTGTCAGCTTTTCAAACCTCCTTGGTATTAAACAGATGAGGAGCGAGGAACCTGTGAAGCAGCCTCCCTTTTTTTGAGTCAGAAGTTACTGAATAGTGAGTTCATTGTGGGGATATTTCTGTCTGACCCGGTGGAATCAGTGGATTGTGGGAGAGCTGATTGCAGTGGAAGAGGAGGCCTGATGATAAAAAAGTAGCTGGATGGGGCAAGGGGCTGTGTAAGATAATTGTGATTTTTGGATCCGAATCAATCTTCTAAGGAATTTTACTGTGGTGATGGGGATAGTGTGTTGGAAGGGAGATAAGGGAAGCTGTGGGATGAAGCTGTGCTGTTGGTATTTTATTCAGGAAAGAGCAGTATTGTATTGAAAGCAATTTTATATTTTCCCAAGCAGTAATCAAATGGAAGCTGTGCCTCCATTCTGCCTGCCTGAGAACATTCCTTAGTAGTACAGTGAGAAGGTCAGTCGCTGTGTAAACAGTGAGTAGTAGGGGAGATTGGGCAATAACTCCACTTCCTTTAAAATACTAGTAAAGATGAATGACCAAACATCAGGAATCATCTTTCCCTTACATTCTTTCAGAGAAACAGCTAATGTTCCTCAGAGACTTGCTGAATAAGTGGTTACTACTTTTCCTGTCTGTGTGTACATATAAAGCAGTCTCTTCCCACTTCCTAAGGTACAGATTAGAAATCAGGAAATGGAAAAACCCAACTGTTAGCTGTGAATTAGGCATTTCAAGTGTCTGCTTAATTAATCTCTGTTACACTGGTGTAAGTCAGGGTTAACTTTGTTGCCTTTCATTGTACCTGGGTTGGGGATCAGGGCTCTTCTTTGGCTTTGGGGAAAGATAACTGTAATATAATTACAGGTTTCAGAGGAACAGCCGTGTTAGTCTGTATTCGCAAAAAGAAAAGGAGTACTTGTGGCACCTTAGAGACTAACCAATTTATTTGAGCATGAGCTTTCGTGAGCTACAGCTCACTTCATCAGATGTTTACCGTGGAAACTGCAGCAGACTTTATATACACACAGAGAATATGAAACAATACCTCCTCCCACCCCACTGTCCTGCTGGTAATAGCTTATCTAAAGTGATCATCAGGTGGGCCATTTCCAGCACAAATCCAGGTTTTCTCACCCTCCACCCCCCCACACAAATTCACTCTCCTGCTGGTGCCCATCCAAAGTGACAACTCTTTACATAGTCAAGTCGGGCTATTTCCTGCATAGATCCAGGTTTTCTCACATCCCCCCCACCCCCATACACACACAAACTCACTCTCCTGCTGGTAATAGCTCATCTAAACTGACCACTCTCCAAGTTTAAATCCAAGTTAAACCAGAACATCTGGGGGGGTGGGGGGGGGTAGGAAAAAACAAGAGGAAACAGGCTACCTTGCATAATGACTTAGCCACTCCCAGTCTCTATTTAAGCCTAAACTAATAGTATCCAATTTGCAAATGAATTCCAATTCAGCAGTTTCTCGCTGGAGTCTGGATTTGAAGTTTTTTTGTTTTAAGATAGCGACCTTCATGTCTGTGATTGCGTGACCAGAGAGATTGAAGTGTTCTCCGACTGGTTTATGAATGTTATAATTCTTGACATCTGATTTGTGTCCATTTATTCTTTTACGTAGTGACTGTCCAGTTTGACCAATGTACATGGCAGAGGGGCATTGCTGGCACATGATGGCATATATCACATTGGTGGATGTGCAGGTGAACGAGCCTCTGATAGTGTGGCTGATGTTATTAGGCCCTGTGATGGTGTCCCCTGAATAGATATGTGGGCACAATTGGCAACGGGCTTTGTTGCAAGGATAAGTTCCTGGGTTAGTGGTTCTGTTGTGTGGTATGTGGTTGTTGGTGAGTATTTGCTTCAGGTTGCGGGGCTGTCTGTAGGCAAGGACTGGCCTGTCTCCCAAGATTTGTGAGAGTGTTGGGTCATCCTTTAGGATAGGTTGTAGATCCTTAATAATGCGTTGGAGGGGTTTTAGTTGGGGGCTGAAGGTGACCGCTAGTGGCGTTCTGTTATTTTCTTTGTTAGGCCTGTCCTGTAGTAGGTAACTTCTGGGAACTCTTCTGGCTCTATCAATCTGTTTCTTTACTTCTGCAGGTGGGTATTGTAGTTGTAAGAAAGCTTGACAGAGATCTTGTAGGTGTTTGTCTCTGTCTGAGGGGTTGGAGCAAATGCGGTTGTATCGCAGAGCTTGGCTGTAGACGATGGATCGTGTGGTGTGGTCAGGGTGAAAGCTGGAGGCATGCAGGTAGGAATAGCGGTCAGTAGGTTTCCGGTATAGGGTGGTGTTTATGTGGCCATTGTTTATTAGCACTGTAGTGTCCAGGAAGTGGATCTCTTGTGTGGACTGGACCAGGCTGAGGTTGGTGGTGGGATGGAAATTGTTGAAATCATGGTGGAATTCCTCAAGGGCTTCTTTTCCATGGGTCCAGATGATGAAGATGTCATCAATATAGCGCAAGTAGAGTAGGGGCTTTAGGGGACGAGAGCTGAGGAAGCGTTGTTCTAAATCAGCCATAAAAATGTTGGCATACTGTGGGGCCATGCGGGTACCCATAGCAGTGCCGCTGATCTGAAGGTATACATTGTCCCCAAATGTGAAATAGTTATGGGTAAGGACAAAGTCACAAAGTTCAGCCACCAGGTTAGCCGTGACATTATCGGGGATAGTGTTCTTGACGGCTTGTAGTCCATCTTTGTGTGGAATGTTGGTGTAGAGGGCTTCTACATCCATAGTAGCCAGGATGGTGTTATCAGGAAGATCACCGATGGATTGAAGTTTCCTCAGGAAGTCAGTGGTGTCTCGAAGGTAGCTGGGAGTGCTGGTAGCGTAGGGCCTGAGGAGGGAGTCTACATAGCCAGACAATCCTGCTGTCAGGGTGCCAATGCCTGAGATGATGGGGCGCCCAGGATTTCCAGGTTTATGGATCTTGGGTAGTAGATAGAATATCCCAGGTCGGGGTTCCAGGGGTGTGTCTGTGCGGATTTGATCTTGTGCTTTTTCAGGAAGTTTCTTGAGCAAATGCTGTAGTTGCTTTTGGTAACTCTCAGTGGGATCATAGGGTAATGGCTTGTATAATTGGGTATATTAATAAGAGGAATGAATGGTGTGGAAACCATCCCTTATGCTGATTTTATGTGGAGAGATACTGCTTGAATAGAATTCACCCATATGCTTTGCGATGTGGGAGATCTGGGTTTCTCTAGTTTTGAGAAGGGATGAGCAAAATCAGGAGATGGGGATGCACAAAGAAATATAGGTAAATACACTTTATTGTGGGATACTTTTGAAAACATTTTCAGAGGCCCTATTTCAAGAGGCACGGTGTAAAGATGACTATGGAAATGAAGGGAAATAGTGTTAAGAATTAAGTCCAGGAATTAAGGAATGTAAAGATGGATGGGTAAAAATCAACAATAATCAATAATTAAAATATACAGGCATATATTTTGTCTGTAAGCAATGAACATGAGCTATGCATTGGAAATGAAACACTGCCTCAGGAGTAATAGAAGTGTGCCAGTTATTCAAGTCTATTACGGTGCGTTTAACCCCTTCATCCTCTCACCTAAGCTTTCCATAGTAATTTTTGCATTCAGCAGCAATGAGCGGTAGTAAAGTTGGGAATGATGAGCTGGAATTCGTTCAGCTATGAAGGTGGCTGTAATTCCAGGAGATGTCTTAAAAGTTAGATCTTTGAGGAACAGATTTTTCTCCAGCTTTTACTGGCTGAGATAACAGGAGGAGACGTATTCACTATTGTCTCTCATTAAAGTAAATGAAAGTGCTTAAATGCTTCAGAAACCTGTACACTCTTAAAATTCTGTTTCATCTTTCAGTGTGTTCTAGAGATGGGTCTGAATGAGACCCCTGATCAAAACACTTTCCAGCTGGGAGGTTCTAAATCTAGATCAGAAATGGTGAAAATTCTGAGCTTTTCCAAGTTTCATAGTGGTCAGTTTAAATCCATTATAAAGAGAAGGCTGACTATGCATTCACACTTCTTTGTGAGTCACTAGTTCCGGTTTCTAATAACTCTCTCCCTTCTTTTCCCCTCTCATTTCTAGGAATACATAATTCGTGTGCAGAGAGGGATTTCCATGGAAAACAGTTGGCAGGTAATCGCTCTTTAAATTTTGGGTCACTTAAACAGACAGTCTTCCTAGACAGAGGCAGATTACAGTTTTGTGGGGCCCAGAGGAAGTGGGGGGCCCCTCCCTAACCCTTCCTCTTGGAGTCATCCTCCCACACCCGGCACTCATGCTGAGGAGTGGGGTCGGGTGCAGGGGCTTCCCCAACTCCCCAGCAGGAGCTTTAGGTGGGCTGGGGAAGTGCGGTCGGGGTGCCCATTTTTCCGGGGCCCCTGGGCACAGGCCCCCTTGGCCCAGGGGCTAATCGGCCACTGTTCCTAGGAAAAGACCTGGATTCATTCTAGCTAGAGACCAAATGCTATTTGAGAGAGAGTCAGGAATGTGAAATGCTTGAATGTGTTTGGTCACAAACTGTTGTTTCTAGTGTCAGTATTAATTAGCGTGAAGGCTTCATTTCAGCATATAAGTCTTCCAGATGACTACTACATGTGACCTAAGATACATATGACCTAAGATACAACACCAAGGCTCATTTTGTGCCAACTCTTACTACTTGTAGGCTACTTGTCCCAACAACAGTGGGCAACTTCCAGGAGTAAGGTTTGGTGAGTCAGTCCTTTAGTTTCTGTGACAATCCTGCCAGTGGACACAGAATAAAAGTCCTCACGTTGATCTCATACACACTTTCCACTAGCATTCTTTCCTATGTATGTATGTATGTCTGTCTGTCTGTCATCGGTAGATAGAATAATTTAGGATGCTTTACATTGTTTGCTCTAGTTTTGGAAGCAAGTTTTTTTTTTTTTTTCTGGAATAAACTTTCTATTTCCATATTTAACCAAAGCTTCTGAAAGTTGTGATTGTTAGAGGAACATTTTTGTCTGACCTCTTCATCTTAGAAGAACGACGTGGCTGTGGTAGTTAGAGAAGACTTCATTGTCTTCTGCCATTGTGGATGTTCTAGGCCAAACAAAGAATAATCCTTGCAGTGTGTTCCTATTACGTATATATAATATGCAGGTGTTTATAGATGGTATTTGTTTTTAAACCTAAATTATGGGGTCTGAATAGTCTGCCAGAACCCGCCTCCCGGCTGGTAGTGGAGCCACTGTCTTGTCCAGGCTGTGCTGTAATAAAAATAAGTAATGATGATGATACCCTGTGAAGAGCTGGTGAGCATCCACTGCTACCAGATAGATTTTTCTGGGGAAGGTCAAGTTCAATTTTTCTAAATTTTGAATGTATGATTTTGAAGTAATGTTGCTTCTAGGATGGAGGAATCAGAAGGTGTCTGCAAACACCTTCTGATGAAGCTGCTGCAATATAATGTTACAGCTAGGAAGCTGTATTGGCGGAAGTTGAAGCAAGACCAATTCAGACTGGAAACCAGGTGCACTTTTTTAATAGTGAGAGTAGTTAATCACTGGAATAACTTACTAAGCATCGTGGTCCATTCTGTATCGTTGGCAGTTTCTAGATTGAGATTGGATGATTTTTCTAAAAGCTCTGGTCTAGGAGTTTTTTGGGGGAAGTTCTGTGGCCTGAGTTATACAGGACGACAGGCTAGATGATCAGTGGTCCCTTCTGGCCTGGGAATCTATGAATCTTGCAAGATTAGACATCACAGAGAGCAACTCTTCTCTCTCTCTCTCTCTCTCTCTCTCTCTCTCTCTCCACTTGCTGGCATAGACTCCTAGACAGCAGTGTAAACCCAGCAGTCTTGCATTTGTACAGAGAAGCTTAGTGAAACCAAGACTGCAAGTCGGAATTTTTTCCCTCATGCGGTTTAGTTATCACATAAAATCTAGTGTGTTGCTTCAATACTGCCTTTATGTTTTGCAGATTGTGAGAAGATACAGTGACTTTGATTTGCTTAATAGTAGTTTACAGGTAAGATTTTTTCCTCTGATAAATAACTATAATTCTAATTAATATATTATATTATATTTAAAATTTTCTTCTTTGTATACAACAATGAAGAGAACAGAGACAGCATCAAACTTACATGGCTGAAAATGAAATTACTTAAATTTTAAAATTATAAACTGACATTTTTGAACAAGGAGAAATGCTGAGCTATTTTAGGTTTTACCCTGGGAAATGTTGGCTGTAACCTCTGTGACCAGTTTAAATCTAAAGACAGGAGATTGGCAGATACTGAATCTTTCCCTTCAGTGATGTGACTTGTTCTGGCTTGGTGCACTGTTATGACCCCTTCTTTCTTTGACTCCCACAAAACGGAGGCACATACTGACCTTCTTAATTCAGCACAGAAGTGCTATGTATCTCGTTATTTGGCTTCCTCCAAAAGCACTTCCAGATGCTGCTTATCATGTGATGGATTTCTGTATCATGGCAAAGGGTTCCTCAGTTAAACACTGAGTTGGCTGGTTATTTTTCTTTTCTTTTTTTAGGACAGTGGTTTCTTTTAGTTTGCGTAGGAAAAGGCAAAGTGTGTGTGGGATGAGGGGCAGGCAGAGACTAACATTTACAGGAAGGATGCTTGTGGTTCTAGGATTTCTTAGTTTAACACCAGACAAATAACATATGAAGTGAGCTCTATCAGTGTTTTAAGAATAGATTTTATCTGTCACTTTCTTCTCTTTTTTTCCCCCTGTCACATGTAGTGTGACTGCAGGACCTTAAGGCCTTTCTGGTTTTCATTTCCTTGTTGGTTTTAAAAATCTGACTAGTTGGTGAAGTCTAGTGAACAAGAGTGGGCAAGTATATTGAACTGTGCTCACGATATGAGCATCATTAAATACAGAAGCAGGGATGACATTGTAGAGGGTAGAAGATAGACTTGGGACCAAATTCAGACTCAATTTTAGCAGGTGTAACTTAATTGAATTCTATGAGGTTATCCACTAGGTCTGAATTTGCACTCAAGATTTTGTGTGACCACTATTAAATGACCAACTTTACTTTCTTCTTTGTCTTCTACGGTCCAATCCTGCACTCCTTAATCAGGAAAATCTCCCATTGTCTTCATTTGATCTAACTGGGAATTTTGCCTGAGTACGGAATCCAAAATTGGGCCCTTAATATACCAATACAGCATACAATGTTCATGACTACTCTGTTAGGTTGTGTATACCTTGGCATGTATTCGCCGTGTTCAGCCCAAACATGACTTCAGCAGGAGACGACTGGATTCCAGCAGTTTTTCAGAAGAGAACTCATATGTGGGAATGGAGCAATTTTAAAAATAACTCCCACGAGCAGGAAAAGAAAATCCTACTGAATGGACAAACCCTGTGACTTTCCTTCCTGGTCTTCTGTGTAGGTTGATAGTCACTGTTCTTTAAAATGCATACCACTTCCTAGGAGAGCGAAATAGAGCATGCTTGTGACAAAATCGCTATCTACAACACCTCTGACTGGTAAAAAGCTGGTGTAATGCATTCTACAAAACTCTAACTGAATAATTGCATCATGGGTTCACCGGAGGTAAAAAGAGATTGCTTGTGGGAAGGAACAAGGCTGTTGAAGAATTGTAATTATTTTTTGCATTAGTGGAAACATGTGGAATTATTATTGTGAGGTGGTGGGCAGATGCCCCAGCCAGGGCAGTCTCAGGTAAGCCCAAATGGCTTGCATTATGTTCAACTCATCTTTCCTCAGAAGCAGTTTTAGTAAATAACAGAAGATTGCAAAGGATCAAAGTAATAAAAGATGCTTAGCAACAGACATTCCCGCTATCTGTAAGCTGGGAGGAGTGAGAACATATCCTCTAGGAGGCACAGCATAGAACCTGAAGCACAGCGGGAAGGCGGGGTTCCTTAAAGTGACTTTAAGCCAGTGGTCCTCAATCTTTTTTCATTTGCAGAACCCTAAAAATTTTGAATGGCGGTGCAGACCCCTTTGGATATTTTGGATGTAGTCTGTGGGCCTTGATGGGTCCGTGGACCACAGATTGAGAACCATTGCTTTAAGACGTAGATTGGCTGCAGTGCTGTCAGGAATCTCCACAGTGTTGGCTGCTGTGTAGCACTGCCCCAACACATCCCTTTTAGCTCCATTCTCTGTGCCAAGGTTTGAGAGGTGACACGCAGGGAAATGGGGCATATTAAGGTTATTTTTTCTTTCTCCTGCTCCACTGAGTTATGTAAAATAACTCCAGCATTGCATACACCTGTGTACACTTTCTGATTCTTTAAGAAGCACAGTCCCTAGTTCCTTCCAAAACTCCCAACAGCACTATCTTGTATGGAAATGTTCAGGCCCTGTGACTGAACAAGCTTAAACCTCTCCTGTAGATATGGAAGCTAATTCAGAGTAAAATTACCTATGAAACTTTGACCTGTTCCTGGAAGAGAGAAATGAAGTTCTCTTGGACTTAAAGCCATAAACCACCCATGTTCTTTACTGACTCATTTAACTCTTGACCTGCTTATTGCCTGTTTCTTCAGGAAGTTGTGCTTGGATGTCTTGCAGAGCCTGGAATTGTTGTGGATTTTTTTATGTTGTCTGTACTGCCTTGTTACCGGACACCTCTTAAAAAATAATAGTGAGGGCTGAGATTTTCAAAGCTGACTGGACTAGGGGATTTAACCACACTGCTCCCGTTGAAATTAATGGGAGACTTGTGGCTAAATCTCCAAACTGCATTTGAAAATCTCAACCAGAGTCTCCCCAAGTGTACTGGATTAAAAAGCTTCTCGCAATCCATCCTCTTTTTACTTCGAGATTATTTAGTGTAGAAGCGTGGAAATTGTATGTCATGTGATCTCCATTTTGTTGAGAGAACTCCTCAGACCATTCTCTGCTAAGAGAGCAAATGACTTGCTGTAACAAAGGCACTCTGAATTATCAACGGAGATCCCTAAGAAGAACGCTCTAGTTTGAAGATAAGAGTGTTAAAGCATTGGCCCTTCTCTGGCAAAAATCCCATTGGCTGCAGAGGAGGCTTTACTTCTCTGAGTGCTGAATTAGGGCCCAGAGTAAGTATTCCCTCAGGCCCTAACGCACGTGCATAAGCCTTCATAGGGTCAGGGCCTCACTGAGGTGCCTTTCCATAAATATGATCCCAGTCCCCCGGCAGGTGGGGTTGAAGAAGTCCAAGGTGAAAATACTGGGCTTGCCTTAAATATTCAGATTTGTTTTTCTGAATCAAGGAATGAAATCTTTCCAGGAGCATTTGGAGAAAGTTTGAAAATGGTCACCTAAACTAGAGCCCCTTCTCTGTAAAGCAGTGACTAACCCTCAGGGGAAGAGCCTAATCTTAGAATCATAGAATCTCAGGGTGGGAAGGGACCTCAGGAGGTCATCTAGTCCAACTCCCTGCTCAAAGCAGGACCAATCCCCAACTAAACCATCCCAGCCAGGGCTTTGTCAAGCCTGACCTTAAAAACCTCTAAGGAAGGCGATTCCACCACCTCCCTAGGTAACCCATTCCAGTGCTTCACCACCCTCCTAGTGAAATAGTGTTTCCTAATATCCAACCTAAACTTCCCCCACTGCAACTTGAGACCATTCCTGCTCGTTCTGTCATCTGCTACCACTGAGAATAGTCTAGATCCATCCTCTTTGGAACCTCCTTTCAGGTAGTTGAAAGCAGCTATCAAATCCTCCCTCATTCTTCTCTTCTGCAGACTAAACAATCCCAGTTCCCTCAGCCTCTCCTTATAAATCTTGTGTTCCAGTCCCCTAATCATTTTTATTGCCCTCCACTGGACTCTTTCCAATTTTTCCACATCCTTCATGTAGTGTGGGGCCCAAAACTGGACACAGTACTCCAGATGAGGCCTCACCAATGTCGACTGTGATCTGACATGTTTTTCTGTTGATTGATTGCACTTCTAAACAGAAAATGCATCTGATTTCTGAAGCTTTGCTGTAATTCTTTAATCTTGGTGCAGATTCTCAGACTGACGTGCGTCTGTCTGTGTTTGTGTTTGCTTAGCCTGCAGGTGAGATTTTTTCCCCCTCAAAGTAGGAGGGTGAGCGTGTGGGGAAATGCACAGTGGTTAGGATGCTTTGCATGCGTTCCAGTAACTTAAGACAGTCACATAACCTTATTTTTCCTACCAACATTTTGTCCACTACTGATTCATAAGAACAGCCAGATTGGGTCAGACCAAAGGTCCATCTAGCCCAGCATCCTGTCTTCCAACAGGTCGATGCCAGGTGCCCCAGAGGGAATGAACAGAACAGGGAATCATCAAGTTGCCCATTCCCAGCTTCTGGCAAACAGAGGCTAGGGACACTATCCCTGCCCATCCTGGCTAATAGCCATTGGTGGACCTATCCTGCATGAATTTATGTAGTTCTTTTTTGAACCCTGTTATAGTCTTGGCCTTCACAACATCCTCTGGCAAAGAGTTCCACAGATTGACTGCGTTGTGTGAATAAGTACTTTCTTTTGTTAGTTTTAAACCTGCTGCCTTTTAACTTCTTTGAGTGATGCCTGGTCCTTGTGTTATGTGAAGGAGTAAATAACACTTCACACCAGTCATGATTTTTATAGGCCTCTATCATATCCCCACCCTTAGTCATCTCTTTTCCGAGCTGAAAAGTCCCAATCTTATTAATCTCTCCTCATGTGGAAGCTGTTCCATATCCCTAACCATTTTTGTTGCCCTTTTCTGAACCTTTTCCAATTCTAGTATATCTCTTTTGAGATGGTGTAACTGTGCCTCAGAGCATCACAACTGAGGATGCCAAATTCAGGACAAACTACTGAAAAATAGGGCTGATACACCCCAAGACTGGTGGCTAATCCCCCATAAGATATACCAAACCAGCAACAAAAGTAAACTTCTGTTTCACCACACTGGCTAACAAGAAGTCATAAAAGTGGTTTCCCTAGGTATTCCAGTCTTTGTATTACCACCGAAAACACTACACTTAGAGATGAGTGGTTCTTTAAAACCAGCCTCTTCAAATAAAAGGTTCTTCTGATCCCAAAGGACCAGCCACACACCCAGGTCAATATATAACTTAGATCTTACCCAAAAATCACGCTGATACCAATCCTTTAATATCTAAAATCTAACGGTTTATTCATAAAAAGAAAGAAAGAAAGGTGAGAATTAAAATTGGTTGACAGAATAAAATACATACAATAATTGCAAAGTTCTTGGTTCAGGCTTGTAGCAGTGATGGAATAAACTGCTGGCTTAAGTCAAGTCTTTGGCTGCTTCCAAATTATTGAAGGTTCTCAATTCCTTGGTTAGAATGCTTCCATTAATATAAGTTCATAGTCCAGAGGTTGGAGCAGAAAAGAGGCAAAATGGAGGGGTTTCCAGAGCCTTATATCTTCTGCCCCATGGAGGGAAACCCATTGTTTCAAACAAAGCCCCCAGCACAGCTAGTGGAAAATTACAGGTGACAAGATGGAGTTTGGAGTCACATGGGCAAGTCACGTGTCCATGCATGAAGGTTTGGACACCGTAGAAGCCATTACCTATACCCCAAACAGCACGTTTGCAGGACTGTCCATTCAGTGTAGATGGGCATCTCCCATGGTTCATTGTCAGTTAAGTGTTTGTTTCTTGATGAGCCACATAATTTGAATAGTCCCTCCAAGATGTGCTGGCTAACTACCTTGTGGGCATTCCCTCAGGGCAAACGTTTGAAATCCAGGTATAGAGCCAATACTTAACTTCAAATACAAAAATGATACATGCACACAGATAGCATAATCATAACCAGCAAATCATAACCTTTCCATAGACATCTTACATGCCACATTTTGTACAAGATTTGTTGCAAATATACAACAGTGGTTGCAACAATGATCTATATGGTCATATTTTAACCAGATAACATCACAGACGGGTGACCAGATCTGCATGCAGTATTCAAGATGTGGGTGTACCATGGATTTATATACAGGCAATATGCTATTTTCCATCTTATTATCTATCCCTTTCTTAATGATTCCCAGCGTTCTGTTCACTTTTTTGACTCTGCTGCACATTGAGTGGATGTTTTCAAAGAACTATTCACAATGACTGCAAGATCTCTTTTGTGAGCGGTAACAGCTAATTTAGACCCCACCATTTTATATGTATAGTTGGGATTGTTTTTCAATGTGCGTTACTTTGCATTTATCAACATTGATAATGTCAGGGATTGGGAAGACCTCACGTGCGTGTGGAGGGAGGAGCAGGAAAAGGGCAAGGGCATTGCCTCCTCTCTCAAAAAGCGATGGTTTCCTCCAGCTTTTTAAACTGTTCCTACTTTTCCAACTGGTGGAAGTTAGAAGTGGGGATTGTATAACCACCAGATGTTCCCACCTTCTTTCCACTTTCCAGTTTGAGCACTTGGAGGCGGTGTGGGGAAGTGTCCCCCCAGTGCCGGAACTATTTTCTTTAGAAAAGCAGCTATTGTGCCCCAACAACTTTCTTTTTCTGCAACGCTGTCATCCAGTCTCCTCAAGCCAAAGCCAGCCCTCACTTTGCTTGGCAGGTTAATAGGTGCACCCCAGTCCTTGATACCCCTTGGAGTCTTCCCCTTTGACATCCAGCCTGTCACTGGCTATTCACAGAAATACCAGGTTTACTATCCCCAAGCGCTATCCTTCCTCAGAGAAGGATAGAGGTGTCCTTAGGCTTTCCTTCTCCTTATAACCCCCAAAATTCATTGTTATTCCTAAAGTCAGGATGACCCCCTCCGGGGTTTGTTCGCTGGTGTGCTGAGTTCATGTTGACTGCGTATGCAAATAGAGCTTCTGCTGTTTGATTTGCAGGTGAACTGAGGCAGACGGTTGAATATACATCCTTTGTCTGATAGAAACCGGTTTGTCAACCCTGCCTTGATTCAGACACTTTTAGGAATATATTTTGAGTGCATGCGTGCATGTCTGCAACTTCTGACACAGTATTTGTACATACATTTCACAACAATATGGATCAGTGTGATCCTGGCTTTCATTTAAGATCTTACGTGAAGTGGGTTATAGCCCACGAAAGCTTATGCCCAAATAAATTTGTTAATCTCTAAGGTGCCACAAGGACTCCTTGTTGTTTTTGCAGATACAGACTAATACGCGTCAGCTACCCCTCTGATAGGTGTAGTTAGTTTGTCAGGCCTGTTAGGAGTTGCTGTTACAGAACAGGGAACCCTTTGCCAGCTGGCACCATGGGCCTCTGACAGACGCCCGGTTTCTTAAGGATTTCTCCCATGAAGGCTCAGTAACTGTGAGGCATCTGCTTTGATTTGCTGTACAGGGATGTGTTGGAAAGATGAATAATTCATTGTGTATCAATTCATATGACGCAAGTAGATATAAATACTGTGTTCAACCTACATCTTTGTTTTTCAAACACAATCTTTTGATTTCTTTAAAATAATACCTTGCCTTTCTGCAGCATCTTTCATCTGATGAGCCGTAAGTGCTTCATGAATGTTAACTAACTAAAGCCTCACGACATGTAGGTAAGGGGTATACAGTGATCCACCACTAGAACGTAGTGCTTCTGGGCTCAAGTGCCAACTATTCCCGGCGACGGAGGGTGCTCGCACCCCCCGGCCCCACCCTGACTCTGCCCCTAACCCAGCCCCCATTCCGTCCCTGCCCCAACTCCGCTCCCTCCATGCCCCTATTGGAGCCCTCCCCAAATCCCAGCCCCACCTCCTCCCCGAGCGCGCCGCATTCCCCCTCCTCTCCTCTTCCTCCCATCGCTTGCTGCCATGAAACAGCTGTTCCGCAGTGCAAGTGCTGGGAGCTAGGGTGAGAAGCAGGTCGTGGCAGCGTGCTCAGGGGAGGAGGCGGAGGTGAGCTGGGGAATGGGGGGGGCGGGGAGCTGCCAGTGGGTGCAGAGCACCCACCAATTTTTCCCTGTGGGTGCTCCAGCTCTGGAGCACCCACGGAGTTGGCGCCTATGCTTCTGGGGTGTACATAACAGCTCTACCTGTATAATGTCACACAGCAAAAATTTTAGAATGGGATGTGAAGAATTATCTCATATAATTGAAACTGCAAGTTAAAAACCATTACTGCTGGCTTCTTTAAGTCACAATAATGGTAGTGCGTGAATTAGAAACTATTATCAATCTGTGCACAAGTTAAATAGGAGAGAAGAGAGTTTGTCAAGAGCAGACACTAGGATGCAATGTTGGTTTGTGCTATGACATAGGTATGCTGAGAAAACACCGTGCTTTATTCTCATTTTGTTAGTGTGGCTCTTGCACTTAAATCTCCTGGCACTTTTGGTGGTGGTACATATACAAATCTCTACATTCTGAGATGAGAGTACATATCAGACTATTTCAGCACTGTACAAACACAGAACTTAAGGCAAAATGCCAATATAGACTTTCTGAATATCCACTTTTTAAAAATTACCTGGTTCTTAGAACAACGCAAAACTAGTGTTTTACGGCTCAATTATTTACCTCCATGAGATATTAAAAGAGGAAGATTTTTGATAATATTATCTTTCCTCTCTTTTTAAGATCTCGGCTCTAAGTCTACCTCTACCTCCCAAAAAGTTGATTGGGAATATGGATCGTGAATTCATCGCTGAAAGACAGAAGGGACTCGAGAACTATCTCAACGTCATCACTTCCAATCACATACTGTCCAATTGTGAATTGGTAAAGAAATTTTTGGATCCAAACAACTATTCTGTAAACTATACTGGTAAGTGAAGGATTGTAAAACTGCATTAATAAATGATAGTTGCTGAGTGAAGGGCACAGGAGAAATTTACTTCCTCTTCCAGACACAGAGGACCAGTCTCACCTTATAAATTGTGCATTAATACTATTAAGGAGTGATACTGCGACGTAGAGTAGTGAATTTACTCTGAAGTGCCCACATGCTGTCTGTCATGAAGCAGATCTGTGCATTAACTGTACTGTTACCAAGTTTCCAGTTACAGTACCACAAAGAGTGGCCAGGACCGAGAGAATCAGTAGGAGGAAATGTAAAGGGGGGAGACATAAGATTACCTAGGGGCAGTTTAAACTATTGTACCTGAGCTAGGGCAGTGAGCCAAGAAACACAGAGAACTAGTTCAGCTTTGCTGAGTACTTTTGTGAGGCCCATGGTGCAAACTCTTCATGGTTTCTATAGAGACCCCATATATTACTGTGTACTGCTGTTATAGCTCACAAATTCCTGCCCGCTGCATCATGGGTAGCTGGCACTTCTACACTTAGCATTCTTCATGCCTAGCTTTCAGTGTTATACGGAGGTGGCACTTCTGTAGTGGGGATACTAAGGCAGAGGTTGTGATTTAAGTTAAGTAAGGACAAGTTAAGGAAGTATGGGCTGGAAGAATGCACTATAAGGTGGGTAGAAAGCTGGCTAGATTGTCGGGCTCAACGGGTAGTTATCAATGGTTCCATGTCTAGTTGGCAGCCGGTATCAAGTGGAGTGCCCCAAGGGTCGGTCCTGGGGCCGGTTTTGTTCAATATCTTCATAAATGATCTGGAGGATGGTGTGGATTGCACTCTCAGCAAATTTGCGGATGATACTAAACTGGGAGGAGTGGTAGATACGCTGGAGGGGAGGGATAGGATACAGAAGGACCTAGACAAATTGGAGGATTGGGCCAAAAGAAATCTGATGAGGTTCAATAAGGATAAGTGCAGGGTCCTGCACTTAGGATGGAAGAACCCAATGCACAGCTACAGACTAGGGACCGAATGGCTAGGCAGCAGTTCTGCGGAAAAGGACCTAGGGGTGACAGTGGACAAGAAGCTGGATATGAGTCAGCAGTGTGCCCTTGTTGCCAAGAAGGCCAATGGCATTTTGGGATGTATAAGTAGGGGCATAGCGAGCAGATCGAGGGACGTGATCGTTCCCCTCTATTCGACACTGGTGAGGCCTCATCTGGAGTACTGTGTCCAGTTTTGGGCCCCACACTTCAAGAAGGATGTGGATAAATTGGAGAGAGTCCAGCGAAGGGCAACAAAAATGATTAGGGGTCTGGAACACATGAGTTATGAGGAGAGGCTGAGGGAGCTGGGATTGTTTAGCCTGCAGAAGAGAAGAATGAGGGGGGATTTGATAGCTGCTTTCAACTACCTGAAAGGGGGTTCCAAAGAGGATGGCTCTAGACTGTTCTCAATGGTAGCAGATGACAGAACGAGGAGTAATGGTCTCAAGTTGCAGTGGGGGAGGTTTAGATTGGATATTAGGAAAAACTTTTTCACTATGAGGGTGGTGAAACACTGGAATGCGTTACCTAGGGAGGTGGTAGAATCTCCTTCCTTAGAGGTTTTTAAGGTCAGGCTTGACAAAGCCCTGGCTGGGATGATTTAACTGGGATTTGGTCCTGCTTCGAGCAGGGGGTTGGACTAGATGACCTTCTGGGGTCCCTTCCAACCCTTATATTCTATGATTTGTCCCAGGTCACACAGTGAGCCGTTGGGAATAGAATCTTGGAATCCTGACATCCAGCCCCATGTCTCATTTGCTTTGTTTTTTTAAGGTAGTCCTTTTCTAGAGTGCTGTATAGACTTTAACTCATCCTTACAGTCACACGCGGGTGAGACAAGCTTAACCCTCTAAAACTCTTCCCATTTAACCAGTAAGGGTGAGTGAATTTACCTGGGGTGTCAACTTCCCTTGCTTTCCTCTTGCAAATTCCTCCTTGAAACCCACCTCCTCCAGTAATCCCTCCTGTCTTCTTCACATTAGTAGTAACTGCTACACCTTCTTTTCCTGGGCTGCTGTCCAATGTCTTGTCCCGTGTGTACAGTTTGGCCTTACACATAGAGCCATGGACTGGCCTTTGGGAAATGTGGATTCTATTCTTGGTTTGGCCACTGGCCTGCTGGGTGGTCTTGGGCAGGTCACTGTACCTCTCTGTGCCTCAATTTTCTTACCTGTAAACTGGGGATAATGATATTTGCCTCTTGGTAAAGCACTGTGAGATCTACTGACGAAAAGCACTGTAAAAGACTTATGTATTATTGTATTATGATTCTACTTTGATTTTAAATTCTTCAGAGCTGGGAATGTGTCCTTATCTGTGCAAAGCACTGTGTAAATTTGTGGCAATATATAAATATGCATGAGATGTGCTTTGGTCATGCATCTTGAGAAATGTTGATAGGTGCATAGTATAAATTGGGGAGGTGGAAAAATTTAAAGTGTGCATGTGCGTGTAATTTGTTTTTAATACTAATAATAAATAATTGATCATACTGACTGTCATTCTGGGAGCTCATCCAGCTTGTTAGGAACCAATCCTCCTTCTTCAACATGTACTGCTGCTTCTGGACTTGTATGTTTTCCCCCCTTTCTCCATAGTCCAGCATGTAGCAGGCAAGTATGAGAGAAGGAAGAATTTTATGGTACCTGTCCAAACAAGATTTTCCTGTTGGACTTTCTAAATATTGTCCATACTAAAGCTGCTGGCAATAAATCCTTTTGTAGGAGACTAGCAATTTTCTTCGGATCTTGTTGACTGAAAACTCTGTTCTTGCAGAAGATACTAAATGCAGAAGATTCTAAAAAAACAATGACAGCAGCTCTCAAACTTGTTCACGGAGCTCTTGCTGATCATCTGTGGAGGAAGCTTGCTAACCAAATGGTTCTCGTTTCTCTCCTTGGTTCAAACTTACGTTTCAGTAGAGAAAGCAGAAAGTAAATTTAAATATGCTCAGTATTGCTTCCCCTTGTAACTAGTTGCTGCAGTTAGGTGGCTTTGAAGGGCGATGGGGGAGGTCCTCAGGATTGCAAGTAAGAGGAGAAATGGCTTATGTGATTGCAGCTGGAGGGGAGATGACCCAGAGGCACCCCCTCGGTTGGTGAACCCCAGACCTATAAAATGTGCCAGATTGAGGTAAAGTGATAGCCTAATTCACCCCAAAAAGAAGTTTTAAACAAAGGAAGGCATTCTACAATTTATTTCTGTAGCACTAACCAATGGGAAAACCATACCAGAGATGACATATAGTGTCAACTCCCCTATAAACTGTGAAATGCAAACCTTTATGTTCATAAAAGCACAACCTAGCAAAGCAGAAACATACTGTTTATTTTCCATTTGTGTCCACTCCCCCCTTGTGAAATATCCTAGTGCAAGGGTGGCCAAACTGTGGCTCGCAAGCTGTATACAACTCTTTTTTACAGTTAAAGCGCAGCTCGCAGAGCCCCCTTACCCCCCCCGCCCCACCCCCTGCCTGCTACCCCCTTCTCCATCTATCTGGGGGGGGAGAGAGCTTGGAATCTCTGCCTTGCAGCAGGGGGTAGGGTAGTGGCTTCTGCCCAGCGAGGAGGGGAATCTTGGGGCTTCAGCCCTGTGGGGCGCACCTGCTAGGGCTCAGGGCTTCACAGCAGGAGCAGGGCTGAAACCCCGAGCCTCGGCAGACACGTCCCAGCTCTCGAACTTCTGGAGATTGTCATATACAGCTCTGCGGGTCAGTAAGTTTGGCCAGCCCTGTCCTAGTGTCTGCAGTCTCTGCCTACAGTTAACTGTCTTTCCCTAAACATTCTCTGACATTTATGTTAAGCTATGGAGGAGACCTAAAATATAAGTAATACATTAACATATTAGCTCATCTAGTTACCACTGAACAAAACAGTGGTGATCCTGTAAGAAGTATTCTGACATCCATATTAATTCTGAGCAAGTTCATCAAGATTACTGTTACAGCAAGTACCAGGGGAATTAATGATGATTAAGTCACTGCCTATGATCTTGGCAGACCCCATTAATGTGACATTACTTTAAGTCACTGTTGTACCAATAAACAATGACTGTTGCACCATTTTCCCCTTCTCCAAGCATGTTTCCACAAATGGTCACAGGCAAATAATATACAACGGGTCAAATAAAATCTAAAACCCTGCATCCTTTTTCACTTGTACTATTTGTCCCTGACAAGATCAGTGACATTAGAGAAGTTTCATTGTTTGCCTGAAAAAAGAACAGGAGGACTTGCGGCACCTTAGAGACTAACCAATTTAATTGAGCATGAGCTTTCGTGAGCTACAGCTCACTGCATCGGATGCATTCAGTGCGTTGCCTGCTTTCCCTAATGATCAATTCTAAATCACCTTGTGAACTCCTAACAGAGTTGCCTTTCCAGCTGCAGGGGAGTGCTGTCTGTCTCCAGTAATCTGGAATGGTTTCATTTTTTCAGAATTGCACGCTGGAGGCTTCCAGCAGAAAGTCTACAGGGAAGTAAGTGCCTTTGCACTCGTCAGCTCTTGTTGCTCAGCAGGAGCAGGCAGCAAAGAGTAAAATAAATAGATGAATAGTTTGTACATAGTAATGGCAGAATTAAATGTCAAATAAGTTTTAAAATTTGGCATTAAAGGTGAATGACAAAGAAATGTCCTGTTTGTGAGGCAGACTAGACATGGGGAAATTCAAACCATGAGCTTTGGATCTGGATCTGAACTGTCTCTTGGGGTGGTGTTGGATCTTGTGGCTTAGGCCCATTTCTAGTACAGCAGAAATGTTAGCTCATGAAGTTTGCGTTCCCTAAACCAGCTGATTTACACTCTTCTCTTGGAAGATCTAAACTACTTCAGGTTAAAAGCTCAGACACTTTTTAGCCATGTTTTGTGACTTAATTTAAAAAAAGAAACAGTTTTGCTGCCTTGTTACGTGTGAAGCAAAGCCTGAATCCCTGCAGCTTGCCTCTGACTCTGACCATTCAGCAATGTGTGTATAATTAACAGACTTTTAAAAATCTCTTTGCAGAAATTGCCTTACAGCATGTTTCGATGTTCTTCCGGTCGGAGCCAAAGTGGGAGGTGGTAGAGCCACTAAAAGATATAGGTAAGAAATTGGCAGTTTGGGTCTCTGGTCAAGGAGAGACATGGCTGCCATATTAATGTTCCTTGGGGGGAAATATATTGGTCAATTCTCTCTTCTTAAATGTCTCTCTTTGTGAAGGAGACTTAATTAAAATGAAGAATTATGGTGGCAGTTTGAGCCAAGTTAGAAGAGCACTATCATTATGTATATGGAACTGAATTTGATGAAGGATTTGGAGTCTTACTACTGATAATACTAAGCATTGAAGCCTTAAATTATTTATGTATCTTTCCATATTGACATAATTTTGGTGTATGTTGGTATAATGCCCCACTGATAGCGATCTTTGTAAATCTAGAAGAATTTTCTTATTGGAGAAGCATAATAAAGAGTTAGCACATAAACCCTGCTATGATTCAGTAGCTTTTTTAAAAACAAAAATGAAACCTGTGTTTCCTCCTAGGCTGGAGAATCCGTAAGAGGTATTTTTTAATGAAGAGTAAGAATCAGCCAAAGGAGCGACTAATGTTAAGTTGGGTATGCTTGCATCTTAAATTTCATCCTACTTTCAGGTTCTTCAAGATAGCTATATAAATGAACTGGTCAAAGCAGCATTATAAAACCCCTCTGTGTGGTTGCCTTCGTCCCCAACAAAAGGAATGTTTTGAGTTCATGCTCAAGATCTTATTTTCGTGAAGCCTAGCTTCATAGTGTTTTATCAGATATTGCATATGAATAACAGAAACATGTAAACTTGGGCGCTTGGGATCCAGCTCTAAGTGACAATGTGAACCAATTGTGAGCTAGTTTAGCTTCTAGAATGTTTCTTTCCATAATGTATAAAGCATTACCTTGCATTATATTTTGCCCTCTTTTACTCTAGAGGTAAACTTTGCAGAAGCAGCTGTTTTAGTAACTTGTGAGAAAACTAAGTGAAAATCCTTCCATCTTTTTCTGTATATTATTCAGCTGATGACTTACTGTTTGTATTCATTTCTAGGCTGACTTTGGCCCTGATAAATACTTGTCTGATAAAGACTTCCAGTGCGCAGTGAAACTTCTTTCTTCTTGTTCTGTGAGTGTTACCTTGATGACTCTTAAACTGAGCCAACCCAAAACTAACTCTTACAAGGACTAATCCTGAAAAAGTGTATGCAGTCTAATACAAAAATATTGTGTACTTATAAAACTGCTGTCATCTGAAGAGCTCAAAGCCTTTGTCAACACTAGTTAAGCCTCCTAAACCCTGGTGAGGTAATATGTAATCGCCCAAGAAAGTAGTAATGCCGGAAATGTCAAAAGTCATGGCTGCTGTGCTTTTTCTCTTCCTGTCTTTCCATAATACTTCGCGTTAGCATCAACTTTGATTGTAAATGTCCAAGATTTTCAGGCTGTCAGAACAGTGCTGTCTATAAATTTAGTTGTTTAACAACTCATCAGAGATGTCCTGAGGATCTAATGGATATCAGTGAAATGTGTTTGGATTCTCTGTGCTCTGTCTGCAATCTGTCGGTAGCCTGGAGGCAGAGGCTGTGGAAACAATGGAGGCAGTGGTCTGATTTCGTGTGTTCCAGGGAACACCACACGGCAGGATCCAATAGTAGTAACTCTATCTGAATAAGGAATGGTATTTGCTGACTCCAAAGGGAACCCTGTGTGGCCTGTTTCTGCTTTGAGACTCTCACAGCAAAAAGCAGGACACCTTGGGAATAATTCTTTACAGCCAAGTTTTAAATGTGTATGATTGTTTTTTCCAATCCTGCAAGCCAAGTTGTCAGCAGAAAGTAAATAGTGCTCACTTGAACTGAGTTACTTCAGTGAGTGATATTAATTTCTGAAAAGGTTATGAAACTAGTACTGTGAATTCTTAGTCTTCAACTACCTCATATTGTACTGCAGATCTAGGGCCTGAGCCCACAAAGCCATGAGTAACTTTATCCAGCATAAATAGAGTCACAGTGGGTGAGGTAATATATTTTATTGGACCAACTTCTGTTGGTTAACGGGACAAGCTTCTGAGTTTACACAGAGCTCTTCTTCAGGTCTGGGAAACTTAGACCTTGTCTCTGCTACAAATTACTTCGTATAACAGATGATTAATCCACACCCCTGAGCAACAGAAGTTATACTGACCTGAGTGCCAGTGTAGACAGCGCTATGTTGGCTGGGAAGCTTCTCCCCACAACGTAGCTACCGCTTCTCATGGAGGCAGGAGTCATTAAGCCGACGGGGAGAGCTCTCTCCCGTTGGCTGAGAGCATCTTCACCAGAAGCACTACAGTGGTGCAGGCTGTAAGTGCTCTCCTGTAGACATCACCACATTTGGTGTCTCACAGCTAAACACAAGATGGAACAGATTGTTTAGCATAAATAGTTAGTACGTATTTCAAGGGACCACTCAAGGTGACATGGCCCATTAATACCCCTTTTGTCATAGGGAACATAACAGGCCACTGCATCTTAACACGTATTTCAAGAGACTGTTCAACTACGTATGCTAAACAATCTGTTCCGTCTTGTGAGACACTTAGCTGTGAGACACTACGGTCAGGTCTACGGTACAAATTTACGTCAGTGCAGCTGCGCTGCTTTAGCGCGTCTGGTGAAGATGCTCTAAGCTGATGGGAGAGAGCTCTCCTGTCAGTTTCATAGCTCCGCAAGAGGCAGTAGCTGGGTCAGTGGAAGAAGCTGTCCCCCCGTCACAGCGTTGTCTACATGGGGGTTTACGGTTGGTATAACTACAGAGCTCAAGGGTGTGGATTTTTCATACCCCAGAGCGAGAGTTATACCAGAGAGTGTGGTGTCGACCAAGTCGGAGTAAGCTTCCCAGACCTGAAGAAGAGCTCTGTGTAAGCTTGGAAGCTTGTTTCTCCCTCCAACAGAAGTGGGTCCAGTAAAAGAGATTACCTCACCCACCTTGTCTTTCTAATATCTTGGGACTGACACAGTGGCAACAACACTTTAATTTAAGTTTAATGGGACTATGCGGTATAAAGTTACTCACATGCATGAGTGTTTACAGGCCTGGACCCTTAACCTTTTTTAATCAACAAGCTAGTGACTTTGACTGCAGTGTAAGAGATCAGGAGGAAGAGCACAGGTAATGAGATTTGCAACCTCCTAACTTCCCCTGATGCCCACCAAATTCCCCTGCACCCTGTGCTTGGTCACGTCTGGGTTAAGTGCATCTGTTTTATCATGTGTGGGTAGGGGTGTGCACAAGGGGGGCATGGGCACCCCCCAATAATTGGTGGGGGCAGAGCAAGCTCCTCCAGCCCCAGGGCTGCAGCAGGGGCACAGAACATGCTCCTTCAAATGCAGTCAAATTTAAATTCCTGCGCACGTCCCTGTGTGAGAGTTACTAATTTAGGGCCTGATCCAGCTGTTACTGAAATTGGTAGTAAGATTCCTGTCTACTTCAGTGGAAGTTGAATAAAATCCCTGCTTTGTTGGCCCTTGGTTAAGACTAAAATAATGGTCCGTTAAACAGATGTGACTACAGACTATGGTTTGTCATTTTGATAAACAAATCATTGAAATGCATGATATTGCTTCAGGACATATGTTCTCTGTTAAATGAATCTAGCATGAATTTACTGTAATCCACATTAAAATGTATGAATCTTCCTTCTTCTTTTGGCAGCATCCCTACATTTACAAAGTCACTTTTGCCACAGCCAATGAATCCTCAGCACTGGTAATTAGACCATTCAATGAGAAGGGAACACTAAAGGACCTGATCTATAAGGTACTGTAGATTGGCACCGATTTTTAGCAAAATGCTCTGCCATGTTTTGTTACTCTATGATCTTTAGAGCGTATGTTTATAATAGTAGAAAGTGCTTTTTATGTTTTACTGTTGAGTAAATCAAGTTTTTTCTTTGTAATTGCTTAGTATGAACATGGCATTTTAGATGTTCATTAATAGCTGTGGACTTTTTTTTTTTTTTTAAGGCAAAACCCAAAGACCCATTCCTGAAGAAGTACTGCAATCCCAAAAAAATTCAAGGTCTTGAACTTCAGCAAATAAAAACATTTGGGAGACAAATACTAGAGGTAACTCCTTTTACTGTCTAACATGCATTTGTGACTAAAGGGATAATCTCCTCATAATTAACAGCTAAGATTATTATAATGGAAGGGAGTTAAGAATGTTGTATCCTTTTGCAGTTAGTTTATTTTGTACATTTGGCCACACTTTGTGTGTAATCAGTTCACTGTAGTCCCCTGCATAGTTAGGCCTCCATTCTGCAACTGGATCCTTGTGTGCAGACCCTTATGCTTGCATGGAGCCCTCATTGTGATGTAACTGGAGCTCTGCACAGGTGCCAGGGTCTGCCCATATGGATCCAATTGCTGCACTGGGGACTAAGTAACTACCTTTTTTTCCTTGCCGGAAAGACCCGTAAATATAGACAGGAACCGAGATACCCTTATCAGTGCTTTTATGGTAACTTTTTTTTAAAAAAATACGGCTCTAGTACTTAAAAGGGTGCTCCATCAGAAACTGGAATTCTTCCAAATTAGTAAATTTTAAAGAAAAAATTAAAGTTAACAGCGTCCTTTTAAATCTCTCTTACTTGCTGCAGTCTACATCACTAAATGTATTAGTCTTCCATATTGTAGACTTTTTTTGTTCAGTTTGACCCTTTTTCTTATTTTTAAGACACAGTAAATAAACCCCTTTTATCAGCCTCTTATTCTGCTCCAAGAACCTTTCAATATTGGTGCTGTTTACATGAAAATGACTTCCAGGTTTATTGTGAGTGTTTGATCAGTGTCAACTTTCAAGATCTCTTGATTAAGATCATATTATCTGTGCTGATAAGATCATAGTACAATATCTCCTCTTCTGATGTTTTCCTTAGTCCAGTCTATTTTATCCCTTTAGCACTTGGTGGTGAGAAATCATGAATCTTGGCACCAGTATTAACCAGAGCCAGAGATCCTTTTATCCAAAAGAACTTTCTCTGCTCTTGATCCTTGGTGTCCTGCCCCATTTATCCCACTGTTTCTGACATGATGCTTTGAAGCAGAGGCTTCCGGGAGTTTTCAGAAGCCCTTTTGGGAGCCCAGTAGAATTGTGGGAGAAGAGGTCAAACTCCCACAGTCTGCTGGGAAACTCCTGTGAATCCATGGGAGAAGAGCAATACAGGTGTGCATCTCACAGGATAGTTCCTTTATGGGGGAAGACAGGATGGTTCAGATTCCAGCTACTTACGTGCAATGTTAAAAGAAACCCAAATGCAGCAGATTCTGATTGAAGTGGCTAGAGGAAACAGTTGTTAGAGAGGAATGTGAGAACGTGAACCTCTAGAGCCTAATGGGTTGGGGAAACCACCAGGTGAGGTATAGGGTGAGAGTGATCATACATGTGGTGCCAGTCCAGTCTGTGAATGAAGAGCTGTAGAAGATGGCTTGACTCTGACAGTGTGGCTAAAAGGTGGGAGCTGAATGGGAAAAAATGAAAGACCCAGAGTCTGAGGAGCTTATCCATCCATTGTGCATTCTTTTAAGTACGCTTCAAACGTTGTCTGACAATCATCCAAATGGATGTCCTCGCAGTGACACTTTTTTTTCTCTTTGATCTTTCAGGTATTAAAATTCTTGCATGAGAGAGGATTTCCTTATGGGCATCTACATTCCTCCAATGTGGTGTTGGACGGTGATACATGCAGGTTGCTGGATCTAGAGAATTCCTTGCTGGGACTCCCATCCTTTTATCGATCATATTTTTCACAATTTCGGAAAATTAATGTAAGTCACTTAAAATATAAAGTGACAAATAGATATTTCATATGTGAAAATTCATCATAGATGTGATAGTAAAACAATTTGTGCTTGACGATAAAATATTACAATAGTCCATCAACCATGAAAAGTGACCTTAATGCTGTTATAGAAAGTATGACTTCTGTAGGCATCTGCTCAAGTTAGACTATATCCCTGGAATGAAATAGAGAATGTTTTCTCTAAGATGAATGGGCTAGAGTCATTATGTAGACATCTGGCTCTTCAAAACTCATAAATTGGGTGGGAGTTGGTGCAGATTTGCACATCGCAGGACACTCTGTCTGCAGAGAAGCTAGACCTAACTTTCCCTCTGTTGGGAAATCTGCCCTGTTGTAGAACTTGCAAACTTTTAACTGGTATGTTGCCTTGCTCTCAAGTACTCGTAATAAATTACGTAAGGTATCACATGGCACAGCTGATGACCTTGTTCAACAGTTGGACTGAGTTGCCAAATAAACTTTCAAAAGTTCATGGTTATATTAACTATCCGTGCCATCAAAACTTACTAAAGTCTTAGCCAATAAGTGCAGCCACATATGTGTGTCTGCTACTAAACCGAAATCTAAAAGCCAGTGAACATCCATCCTCCATTAACACTTAAGTCACTATGCTAAATTAAGCCAAATGCACTAAACTCTCTCTGGTATTTTGTACAAATAGTTCTTTCTTTGGATACTTTTCTTTTTATCTACTTGTGGCTGGTTAGAAATCTGTGGTGGTGTGGGTATGTGTACTATTCCTGTTAATACATTCACATGTAGTATATTAAACCTCGGTGTTTACTGTTTGAATAATATTAGAAAAATGTGCTAGCTCAAGATTTCCTTTCAGTATTATGATTTTCAAAAACCCTATATTTATTTTGTAGGAATAAGGGTTGTGTGAACAAAAAATAGTTAGGTCAATTATTAAGCTGTATTGTCACCTGCAACTGAAAATGCCAAATTGATCACTTGTGAAGGGGTTACTTTATTAGAGGAGCCATTTGGGCTGGGTGCAGTTTGTGTACATAGTAAGACTGCTCTTCCCCTCCAAATTTAGCATCTAAATAGAAAAGACAGGCAAAGCATGAGAGGATTGGGATTATGTTTATCAATGGGGAACTGAGGCACAGAGAGACAGGGACTTGCCCCAGGTCACACAGTTTGGTGGCAGAACTGGGAATTGAACCTTTATCTCCTGAGTCCCAGTCTTGTGTCCTAATCACAAGCCCATCCTTCTCTAATAGATCATTATAAATCTTGAAACTGAAATGTGCAAAATTGCTTGATTCGAGCAAGTTGGGCTTTTGTCTTCCTAGACTTTAGAAGGTGTTGATGTACATTGCTTTGGTCACTTACTGTATGAAATGACGTACGGGAGACCTCCAGATTCAATCCCAGTGGACGGCTTCCCTCCTGCTCCATCGGCATCAGTCGGTCAGTATACTATTGGGGAGGTATTAGCCTCTGTTTAAAGTAACTTCAGTTGTCTGCCTTTCTTTTAATCAAACTAAAAGGACATATTGGAATACACTAGAAACCTACTTAAAACTTCTTGTGGCTTTAGAAGGAGATTTCTGAGGTTGGATAATTATTTGCTAAACTGACTACAATAGAAAATATACCATACCTGTACGTTTCTATATTGTGAGATTCGTTTTTCCCTGAAGAAATATATACGGCACAGATACACTGAGTTGCTTTGTCATTCTTTCTTTACTACACGGTTTCTGATCATCTAGTAAAAGTAATATTTACTGCTCTTGAACTGTCTTAGTTGAAAGGTTAGTTAGGGAGCGTTACACAACAGTGCCTAATCTTTTGTCCCAAAACAAGGAAAGCAGTGTTAACAAACGTGTTCCTGCAGTATAAAAATCTGCCCATTCTTTCTTTTCCTTCCTTTTTAAAGTGGCAGTGTTGGAATCCATACTCTCCTGTGAAGCCATAAAGAATGGTATGCCAACTGTCTCCAAGATCTTACAGATGTCGTAAGTTCTCGTTGCCTTGTTTTTTGTAGACTTTGTAGTATTGTTAGCTTTTCTCATATTAATATAATTATCTCTGTGCTCTCATCATTCATAATAAAGGGTTTTTTGGGGGAAGGAATAATCTCTCCTCAATGAGAGCATTAATGGTCTAACTTTATTTGATGTACGTCACTTGTGAAATATGATTGATGTTCCTTAAACTATTCTGACCCTTGCTACGTTGTAGCATACAATACATTCACCCACTCGGGTGTTTGCGTTTTAATGAAGGACTACTGATTAAAGTTGAAAACACCTGTAAAACACTGCTTATTTTATTTAAAAAAGAAAAAATTGGCATTTCAAAAAAACCCACTGGAAATGGTTACTTGTACCTAAGGGCTTGTCTATGTGGAGCAGTAATGTGGAGTACTGGGGTGAGATTTCTAAAGCGCACTAATGTGCTGCGTGTTAATTGGTCCATGTAGATTCTGCTGATGTACACTAAATGTTCCCTAGTGCACTTTAACATAGTGCTGTTTAAAATAGTTCTACATTAAAGCATACAAGGGAACATTACAGGAGATAATTCATTACAGTATATATTACTGTAATGAGTAAATATATAACATTTCCATTCTATACATACTTATTTTAGGGTATACAGAGAGAGCCCTGAAAACCTCTGATTTTGGACCTCTACGTAAAACTCAAATTGCTAAAAACAAATCCTGAAAAATGGAAGTAATTAACACTGAAAAACATAAGCCCGATGTATAGAGCATGTTGCTGTGATTATTTAAATGGGCCCAGCCATCAGTTATGAACACATGCAAAAGTACATGGAGGGATGATAAGAAAACATCTAAGATGCAGAACTTTGTGGGTTGCTGTTCCTTCTAGAAGTGATCCTTAATAGATTTGACTGGTAGTTAGCCTGCGATGTGATTAACAAAGTAGATTTTATTGCTTTGTTCCACATTCGTGTTCAAAATAGGGAGTGGGCAGAAGTGTAATGTTCTGTCCTTTAGAATTGTCAACTAGTCCCACAGTGCGTAGCTTGCCACACATTTTGGGGTGTGCTGTGGAGTTCCATATTCTCTGGTGGGAAAGGGTCACTGCAGTCTTGTCTTTTGTCATCTGTCTTTTTTTATTTGAGGGGGAGAGAGGAAATGAACAGAAATCTGACAACAGGGAAATGGTATCGGTGTAAGAATTTATAAAGGTCATGAGTTAGAGAAGATAAATCCATGTCCAGTCTGACCTGATGTGTACATGCAGTACGATTTGGAATGTGTAGGTTCTGGGTTCATGTATATGCCAATACAATAAAAATAAACCTTTCTCTTCTTAAATAAAATACTGTTCTGTAGCAAGAGTCTGTTTAATTTTGGCAAGGGCACATAATTAAAAAGCAGGGGAGGGGAAAAAGAAATGCACAAGTGGGTTTTAAAGGGGCTCTGACAACTTTATCACACCTTTCTCTGAATTTTCTGCCTACTGTTGTTCCTGAGTGTTTGAATCTGGGATAAAAAGAAAAGGAGTACTTGTGGCACCTTAGAGACTAACAAATTTATTTGAATTCAAATTTATTTCATCATCATGCATCCGATCACAAAAACTTACACTCAAATAAATTTGTTAGTCTCTAAGGTGCCACAAGTACTCCTTTTCTTTTTGGGAATACAGACTAACACGGCTGCTACTCTGGATCTGGGATGTTGGATAAGTTCATCACTTGCGTAAACATGTGGTAATCTGCAATAGTGTCAAAATTCTAAACTATCGGTCATGGGGGATTTAACTCTGACATTACACTGGACAACCTTTCTAGTGTGTTCTCAAAGAAATAGAAAGTAGCTGGAAATGTTATATTTCTAGTTTCAGACTAACATTGCCCTCTAGTGTACTTCCCCTGTGCTCTGAGAAGAGAGGGTTAATCATTTGCATTGTTGCTGCTGTCTAGTGGGATTGAGTGAAACATTTTTCCCTTGTTCAGTTACTTTAACTGGAGTGTTAAAATCCAGGTGGTTGTTCTGAATTTTATGGGTTAGTTATGGCTCGCCACTGATCGCATCCGACCAAAAGATTTATAGGTTCTTGTCCAATTCAGACTACAGGGTCCAAGAACTCCGAGCTCTATATCAGGAGAGGACTCTTGGGGTGCTTGGCAAAAAACTTATACTGAGGACAATACCAAATTGATAAATACTTTATTGAGATTAACAAAAGAATAATAAGTGCTATGAAACTTATGACTGCAAAACGGTAAAAGGATTCCAAAACTCCTGGTGGTAACATTCCTATTATAAGTACCTTAACCTAACATACTCACACCCTTCCTTGAGGACCCGGTAATAGGGGGTGAAGGACTAGCCTTACTCCTGGCATGCCCGATAACACGATGGTCCCAATAGTTCGGAATGCTGAGTTGTTATACTATACTACACAAGCTGAGCTGATAGCGTGATGGAAGATAGAATGATAGGTAGCTAAAAGGATAGCCTACGGAATATAGGAGAACAAAGAAAAGAAGAAGCTCCCTAAGATATCCTTACATGGTATTTTATAGGATCTTGATGCTATATAATTCAGGCCCAACCTACTATACCCAAATCTTGTTTCTGTACCCTAAGAAATGTATGGGTCCCCTTATCCTATATCTTAGCAGATTATGACACTTACTCTCTACGTATTAAGGATTGTCTCACTCCAAAAACTGCCCACCTAGGCTCTCTTGGCGACTTCCAGGTTTTTGGTTACCAACCGGTTGCAGACGGTGGAAAAATCTATTCGGGGTTGTGTGTAGTTCCTCCCCTTAGGTTCCCCAAAGTTCAGGGACCATTTCTATCTGTGCCAAAGGTTGCCATCTTTTATGCTGACTTACTCTTAACTGATCATACTTTTAGCTATTGGCTTCTTGCATTTCAGCAAAACTTATTCTATGTATAATTATTAGGAAACACCTATCATATACCTCAACACATCCTAATTTCATAGGAATTAATACTGATAAAATATAAGAATGATATATGAAATGGATTAATTCAGAAAGAGAAACATATTTGTTACAGCTGGCTGGATTAGTAGGATATAATTAGCAAAATAATCTTATGGGCTACAAGGTAAATGGAAATGTGAAGCTTTACTCCGATATTTTCCATGCTCTTTAGTGTTTTGAATAATAACATATAATGACTGTGCAAAGAGAGCTTCTTGTCAGAAAGAGGAGTGATCTTTTAGATGCAATGTACAAACCCCCCACCAAATACCTGACCCCTGTAGTCGTTATGGCATTTTAAGCAAAGGGAGAGTTGGCTTTGGGAGATTCTATTCTGCCTAACTAAAATTACCGTGTTTCAACTATCAAAGTGTTTCTCTTGGTCTCCTCCTAAAGCTGTTAGCTAGTCTTGCTATGTTCCATATCGGAGGTGGCTACGTGTCAGGGAGGATTGCTATTTGTATGTTATGACCCTTCTGGATGACAAGCACCATATAAATGCCAGTGCAAAGACCTGAAGAAGAGCTCTGTGTGAGCACGGAAGCTTGTCTCTCTCACTTGCAGAAGTTGGTCCAATAAAAGATATTACCTCACCCACTTTGTCTTAGTGCAACGAATAAGCAGCAGTGGAGGGAGTGGTGGTAATGCTGCATTCTCTTCTTGATCCTATCTGTCTCTTGGAAATAACACACCAGCTTGAACTTTTCTTTCCTTTCAGATTATTCAGTGATATTCTCCTAACGAATTCCGAGAAACCACAGTTTAAGGTAAAAGTGAACGACGCTGGCGTATCCTGAATTGCTGCTGACTGCGTGGTTATGTGGCTGGCTTTGGGCCTTGGTGCTATCCATCCGAAATGTGGGGTTGGGTGTGTGACAGGTGGGGAAGAAGACACTTGGCTGTGTTCAAGGCTGCCAAGACACCAGTGCTGCTGTTTCTTTCAGCAGCACTTCACAAGGGAGCTTGTTCGTTGGATACCTTCATTGACATGTCCCTGGGAGCACTTGTGTTTTTTTTTTTACTCATTAGATTTTCTTAAGGACGATGGCAGTTGCTGTTCCTTACTAGGAACACTGACACAAACGTAAAGCAAACGCAGGGTTTAGGGATGGTGGGGGAGGCTACTCAGCACTGAATTCTGCAGATGCTTCAAACTGTCCCTCAGAAAAGAAGTTACTTGTACATAGTGGACAAGAGAAGTAAACTGCAAGATTTTCTTTGGTTCTTGGTTATAAGATGAACAAATGTGAACTTCATAAAGTTCTGTAGGAGATTCAGGACAAACAATCTCTTCAAAGCACGAGTAACATAATATAGCTCTTGTGCCATGTCTTTTTACCAACTACTTGCCACGTGTGTTTCAACAGCAATGGCGAGAACAGACTCCTGCAGCATTGCATAGGAGAGCAATCTTCTTGGCACTGATTTGGAACCTTCCCATAAGAAATCAACAGAACCACTCTAAACCATCAGTTAGTCCACAGTCCGATCTGAAGCACCTTATATCTGAACAGCTGCTAGATTTTAACATTGGCTTTAACTCCTCCATCATACATCATATTCTTTGCCTGTTGTTGAGGCTTGCAGCCAGGTTTGTAGGGAGCAGTGCTTGCAGAAATCCCATGTGGTCTAGGTGGATACACAGTTATCTTCATTAAACAATCAGTGTTAAAACCTGGGGCCTTATCATAGATCAAAAAATACCTCAGATTAAAAGTGGATGTTTGGCAGTGAAGCTGTGTGTTAATTCTGCTTGGCACATCCCATACCATGATTCTTCCCTTTCCTTTACCAGATTCCCACTAAGTTAAAAGAAGCATTGAAAACTGCCAAGGAGTGCATAGAAAAGAGACTAACTGAAGAACAGAAATTGGTAATATTTGCATTTCTTTATGGTTTTCCCACAGACATTCTTTTCCCTTTATCTTTTAAACCAAAGATTATGACAAATGGTGAAATGTTAAAGATCTTCATCAGTAGGTTTAATAAATCTTACTGAGGCGAAATGTGCCTGTGAGACTATTGCAGTAGATGTAAGAAACCATTTTAGAACAGATTCTTTTTAAACTGAATTATATTTGGGTGTCTTAAAGATATGCTGTACAATGTAAGATAGAACATGAGAGTATTTAAAATATAAAACAAAAACTTGTTTGTTTTTCTAGTTAACTTTATCATATTTAAAAACTATATAAGCCAAAATGGCTAATTGACAGCATGAAGCCAAACTTCCTGGTTTCTGACACTTTGGCATGATAGAGACACACATGATAGATTTTTGTGCACTGTATTGGCTTTTGCACGTGCAGATAAATACATGGAAAAACTGGATGACAATTTGGAAATCTGGCGATTATATTTTCTTATTAGCTTACGTTTAAAAATTAAAGTGCAATTGGTGCCCTTAATCGACTGTATTCTTTTGGATCCTTGAATATTAATTTAGTAGTCTTCAAAGGGCTGTTGAAATGTATGATTAGTTTGAGTCAGAAAGTCCAGATCTAAAGTTTCTGAAGTTTGGGGTGTCTGAATCAGGATTCCGCCCCAGTGTGTTATAGGGAAGGAAACCAGATGTAAAACTTCGGATTGGAGCCAAGCTTCCCAAATTTTGGGAATGTTTTTGTCTTAGGTTTTGTTACAGGCCCATTTCTAGCTGAGGAGGAGATCAGTATGAGATGTATGATCTCTGAATGCTTTTTAGAGGAAGACTGTCCAGTCCATGTGGTGGACAATAATATTGTTGGAACACAGTTGTTTTTGCAGCACATTTGATGCCCCCTCCGCTCCCTAGTAAAGGAGCCATGGCCTGATTGTGCAGCTGTTGTATGCATGGATCTGCCATTGTCTTTAGTGGAATTTCCACAGTGAGTGGCTCCCAAAATGTTCCCTAAACGTTTATAAATCTAACTTTATTTTAACTCTGGTCTTTGGGCCCCAAACGAGTAGCAAAGATCTAAATATTTTTTAAAAATTCAAAGCCACTTGAGTATTTTCTCCAGTGTTTCCCCTTCTCTGAGGTTGCCAGATAAGTTTTGTACATTTCATGTGGGCTGTTTTGGTCTCTGTCTCTCTCATATTCTAAAGATTCACCAGCATAGAAGACTGACAAGAGCTCAGTCTCACCATGGCTCTGAGGAAGAGAAAAAGAAAAGAAAAATCTTGGCACGAAAGGTAAATGGGATTGTTTAACACGAGTTTCTGGCATGTAGAGAAGTATGTACATTCCTAGTGTAGTATGTACTGAGGAAATGAGAGCATAATAGGGGTATGCTCTCACCCCCATGACCTGCAGGAACACTTCTGAGAGAGAGAGAGAACATCTGTTTTGATTGTTTTCACGTATGCAGACAGGCAATGCGCTGTGCAGCAATGTTTAAATGCTGACCGCTAGTTGGTTTGCAGTAACTTTAAATGAGCTAAATAAGAAAAAACGATGAGTGGCTATATGAATGCCTAAAGTGCATAGAACGGCCTGCTGGCTTCGCACATTCTGCCGGGGGATGGGAAAGCTATCTCCTGCATCTGCAGCGCATTTCCTGCATCTCTGGCTCTCTTTTTTTTTTTTTGAGGACCAGTTCCTGGCCCTTGTTTTGGTTGGCAGTAGGGCCATATTGCTGCCCAAAGTGGGCAGCTGGGGATATTCCCCAGCAATGGGTGATTCCCTAGCTGCTGCAGAGTTGGCCAATAGGACTGCGACAGCAGGAGTACGCTCTGGGGAAGAGTGGATAAAGCACTGGTGATCCCTGCATGCTATAATAACCCCTTGGGGGCTGATGCAAATCCTCATGTGTCAAAGGCATCTTGGTAAGGGCCGCAGTGAAATAATGGGAAATGCTGTTTATTCCTGTCTTCTCTCTCCTTGATTCTTAAAGAAGTCAAAGCTCTCTGCCTTCGAAAGCGGGGAAGAACGCTCGGCAAAATACAGCAATTCAAACAATTCAGGTAACTAACAGGGTCCTTTCAACAGGTTTACAGCGCGCTCTCTCTTTTGGATTTAAAAAAAAAATAAAATTACATGCTCGTTAGAAAACCTAAAATCACTTTGAATTTTCTACTGTATACTAACAGACTATTACAAGCTGATCCTAGTATTGGTTTCAGAGTAGCAGCTGTGTTAGTCTGTATCTGCAAAAAAACCAGGAGTACTTGTGGCACCTTAGAGACTAACAAATTTATTAGAGCATCAGCTTTCATGGGCTACAGCCCACTTCACTGGACACATTGAATGGAACATATAGTAAGAAGATATGTATATACATACGGAGAAGGTGGAATTTGCCATACAAACTGTAAGAGGCTAATTAATTAAGATGCACTATAATCAGCAAGAGGAAAAAAAACTTTTGTAGTGATAATCAAGATGGCCCATTTAGACAGTTGACAAGAAGTTAAATGCTGAACCGCTAGTTGATTTGCAGTAACTTTAAATGAGATAAATAAGAAAAACCGATGAGTGGCTATATGAATGCCTAAAGTACATAGAACAGTTATTGGTTATTTCATCATGGTCAAACTGTGGGTTTAAAAACTTTGTCACTGGTAGTTATAGTTTTATTAATAGGTGAAAACCTCTCAGTGCTCTGAGCGTTGGATGGAAGGTGTGGGGTTGCTTACAATAGCATTGATCAGTCAATCCACTGGATACTTCGTCCTTCACATGGAAACACTCTTGACATTTATATTTCTTGATAAGAAGTTACTAAAATGAATCAATGAGCTACAGAGAAAAAAGTTTCTGTGTCCAGTCCTGAAGAGGGCTCTGTGTGGTAAACTGTCACCTGCTGAACTGTCCAGTAGTGCAGCCAGTTTCTGTTAACTAAAATGACTTGCAAGGGGAACTTTACATCTTAAAGGGTGTAACTATTCCAGAAAGCAATTCATTGTGAAATACAGTCAGCTACCAAAGTAACTGGTGAAGCTATAGCAACTGACTAAAAAACTCTCTCCTAGAAGAAGAGATGGGGTCAGAGTCTGCAGGCAGTGCGTGGCATGCACCTAAAGGAGAGCAAAATTTAGTCTCTGAAATCCAACAGCATTTAGTCTAAACAGCCTGCCTGCTATTGAAAAGAAGTGTTCCCCATTGGGGAATTCTGAGTGTGTGTTGAGATGTTTGTCAAGCCTGGTCTGTTCATCCATGCTGTGCAGCTCGTCAGTTGAGACAGGTTCTGATTCTGTACCCATTCAAGTCTGTGGGAATTAAGCCATTGACTTCAGTGGAAGTAGTCAGTAAAATCAGACTGTTTCCGAAGGCCCATGTTACTGTGTTGAATCCTGAAATCACAGCTATAGTTACTGGGTTTTTATTTTGTTTAGCAGGCTCTGGGGCCAGTTCCCCTCTGACATCTCCATCGTCCCCTACTCCATCCTCTACAGCAGGTAAGCAAAAGAGCCATTGCAGTGTTGGTCTGTCTTCTGTTGAGTTTTTCTAGGGCGGGAGATGATCTATTGTATCCTTAGGGGTGATAGAGTTTTAGGGACAAGGACTGGCCATAAAAATGTACAGATGACATTTATTTACCTTCTAGTGACAAAAGTTCAGACAGTTGGAGTCTTCTGAGCATCCTAGATAGCCTTGTAACATACAAAGCCTTCTTGTTTAACAAATTTCTCTAATACTCCTGTAGATAATCTGTCCACACAATACAAATGCTTGTGTCTAAATCTGCACTACCCTAATCCTACCTTGATTGGTACTTTCCAGACATCCTCTGGACCTTGCATTATTTCACAAACGTGCTTTGCTTTCTGGTGATCCAGTCTGCGGGCTCTGGAGTGCTCTGTTTTGTGATTCAGCCGCATGTAATGTAAGTGTAAGGCTCACTGAGGAGCAGCATTATTAGAGGGTGCTAATACGATCCGTTTTCAGAAGGAAACATCGATACCGACTACCTGTGCAGTAGTGACTAGCTCACCTGATTTCTGGTCCAAGGAACCTGCTGCATTGAACGGCGTTAGCTCCTACATCTAGGCTACATTAATTGGTTAGGGAAGTGTGTGTGGTTGGTTGGTTGGTTGGTTCGTTCTAACTGACCTTCTAAAAGACACTGTAGTCCACAAACTTCAGTGAAGAGGTTTTTTCCCTGTCAAGTTCAGAATATGTTGAGAATTATTAACTATGTCCTCTCTAAGAAGGACTCGGTCTTCCAGGTCCACTGGATTTAGGATACTGGGATGCCACTGTATGCTCTGTATTGAAGTAAATGTTGTTATCCTCCAGGTGTGCCAACTTTTATTTTATGTTTTGGTTGGGGTTTTTCCCTCCAAGATTTGAAAAAATGCATTTTTTTAAAAAAAAAGAGGAATTAGATGAAAATGCAAGGAACAGTTCTATCTTTCCCAAATGGATAGATGTTTAGAAAATAGTTATCTTTGTTTTGTGAAATTAAGTTAGGTTTTTGTTTACTTAGATTCATGTCTTGACATTGATGTGGATTTAAACTGAAATATGCTTTGTCAGTTTCAGCATGTGTGTTTGGCTTCTGTGTCATCTCCAGTGTGAACACCTTATCATATGTCACTCATCCTTCTGACATTGTGCTCTTGGCTGCTTGATCTAGTCCATAACATATTTGATTCTATGCAAATTGTCCCTGCATTTGTGCTAATCAAAAAGTGCTGTGGCATGCAAATTGTGTTGATACATCTGATTTGTTTCAGGCATTCTTAGTACTGCCACCATTTAAGAATGTATTTTTTGTAAACTGAATACATACAGGATGGTATAAAAAGACCATCTAATTTTGCATTAATTGGAGTGGTTAAATATAATTTTAGCACTTCAAATATTAGCTATAAAGAAAGTTAGGGGGGCTTGGGTCTCTGATTTTCACCAGGAATATGCCTTTTCCACTTCTGTGTGCAACCAAACCATTAAATGACCTAATGGGGGGGAAAAACCTGACACAACTGAAGAACATTGTTAAGAAAGAAGATACATATTAGAGGCCTTATTCCTTCACCCGCTGACTTTCCTGGTCCTTCTCGCATGAACAGAGAGCAACAATACCCAAAGTCCGAAGGTGCAAACAATTCGATGTTTATTGGGGTGAACTTCCAGCAAGCATGATTCCAGTTTCCTTCCTCAGTGTCCCCTTCCCAGGTCTGACACCACAGAGCCTTGCCTGTGTCCCTGTTCCCGTTCCCATTCCCCCCCTTTAGCAAAACATGATTCCAATCCCCCCCCCCACCCTCCCTCTACTTCCTGATTTGACTGCAGGCTATACAGTAAAACTTGAGTTCTGCTTAGCTATCCCTTAACCAATCATTTTACTGAGATGTAACTAACCAATCCTAACATATTGTAACATGATTATCTAACCAATTATATCCCACCACCTTAATTGGTTTACACTATGGGCGGGCAAACTTTTTGGCCTGAGGGCCGCATCGGGTTTCTGAAATTGTATGGAGGGCCGGTTAGGGGAGTCTGTGCCTCCCCAAACAGCCAGGCATGGCCTGGCCCCCTTCCCCCAGACCCCCGTCCCCTAACTGCCCCCCCACCCCGGGACCCCTGCTTCCATTCAACCCCTCTTTTCTCTGCCCTCTGACTGCCCCAACCCCTATCCATGCCCCTGAACTCCCCTGCCCTCTATCCAACACCCCCTTCCCCCCCTCCCCCCGTTCCCTTACCGCGCAGCTTGGAGCACTGGTGGCTGGCAGCGTGGCTGCACCAGGACAGGCCGCCGCGCAGCACAGAGCACCGGGTTCAGGCCGGGCTCTGCAGCCCCGCTGCCCAGAGCATTGTGCCGTGCGGTGGTGTGGCTGAGGGGGAGGGAGGCCAGCCTCCTGGGCCAGGAGCTCAGGGGCCGGGTAGGACAGTCCCGTGTGCCGTAGTTTGCCCACATCTGGTTTACAACCAACAAAATTAATTATACAGCAAACAGAAACAATTAGAGAACCAGACAGATTAACAATAGAAAAGTGGGGGCCATAAAGATAAAACATACAGAAATGAGGGTTTTCACAACCACAACTATTGAGAAGTGATTTCTTACCAGACAGGATGCTATCAAACTAAGTTTCCTTTTACATCTTCTAGGCTCTTCCCTTTCTCTGGAGGTGATGGGAATACAATCCTGTCCTGATAATGATGCCTAACAGCCCCATAGCACCTTCTTTCAATGTGACTAGGTTGGAATGTGAGTCTGTGACCGGTCGCTTCCCAGCTTATGGCTGCCTCTGCTGCTTAGCCAAAGGCCTTAGACTGTCACAGTGAGAGAAGGCCTATAAACAGGCAGACTGATTTTGATCCTTGTTTTGTACCTCTATAACTAGCTAAGTGATAAGAATACACCTAAATTCTTAGAGTATAGGCCTTTACAGACAGGCCTGAATATCTGTGTCCTAACAATACAGGCTACAGAAGCAGCGTTCTGTATTCCCCATTCCCTGATTCTCGACTAAGGACAAAAGTTTCATGGGGGCACTAATTGGTGAGGTGACTGGCAGAGGTGTCAAGCTTTTCTCCTCTAGACTTCTGGTCTGGATTCTGTTCGAGTCAGTGCAGTTGTGTGATAATGTGGCATGCTGTGATGATGGGATATGCCGAGAGGAAGGGAATGGGGATGAGAGGGGAAGTGTGTCAAACGTGAACCCCTGTCCCCAACAGGCCCCTTGCCAGCCAAGCAAAAGTACCATCTGTGCACATGTGGAGCTGGGAAGGGAGAGCAGAGGGAGCTGGATCCCAAGGTGTCCGACCTGAGTGTGGGCCTGATCCAAAGCCATTAAAATCAATGGGAGTCTTTCCACTGACTTCAGTGTGTTTTGGATCAGGCCTTGAGAGGGAACGAGAGGAGTACAGGAAACCAACGCTCCGCAAAACCTTTCAGAATACTGTCCTCCTTTCAAAGCTTTCCTGGGACTCCGGCAGTTCTTTAAGGGACCCTTACGCAAGGCATTTATTAGAGCCCTGCTTGTTATGCAAGGTCTAGTGAATTAAGAGCTGTGCTATGTGTGCAATTTGTTTCTTTTTAGCATCTACATTTTATATTTCGTATCCCAGAAGTACAATCCCACACACACACATGGAGGAGACCGTTAATTGTATTTATTGTAAATAAGGAGCATTTTGTTGCACATCTTTGCGAAAGCTGCCTAAAATGTTCCAGAAACAAACCCACACTGCAGCTGACGGTCCCATCGCCTTGCCATGGCTATAGCTGTGGTTGAACTTGGATTCCCTCATGGGCAAAATACAGAGATCCGTCCTCGAGAGTATTTTCAGCAGACTAAACTGCTCATTTAGAGAGTTTACTGGTGAATGAGGACATTGTATAATGGTGCCTATAGTCTTAGTTGCTTTCAGAGTTGGGTCACACAGCACATAAGTTAGTCTCCTTCCATTTAACGGTGTTGCCTTCAAGAGCTGCGAGACCTGCAGAACCTTTAAAATGTCACGAAGCCCAATTTCTTTGCCTCTTCACTGATTAACTTTGTGGAGGAAAACAATGATCTGGGTGAGCACTAGGATTAAGAGTCTAAATAGCTAACTCTCTTTAGACATCTCCACATGCTGTGGCTGAAGTGCTGAACTGAACCTTTTGGGGGTAGAAGTTGGTAAGTGACGTTCAACGCTGTGCTTGGGGAGTTAGCCATGTCACCGCACTACATTAGAGGAAGTAAGGGTAGATTGCCTTCTGTGGTGTCTTCCCATTAGCAATTAGAACGTGTAGCACTTAGCAGCTAGTGGAATAGAAACCTACTTGTTTTTAAAATGGCCTAATCTAAGTGGCGTGAAGGACCTTGCAGTGGTGCCTAATGTGCAGCCTCTTAACTAGAGGGATTTGAATAACTTTCAATGTATTGCTTACTGAGGGGCCTGATTCTGCAAAGAGCCATATGCCTTCATCTCCCTTCACTTCATTCAGGGTTAAGGCAAATCAGTGCCCAAATATGGAAGTTCAGGCTGGTTTCTGTTTCCTAGTTTTAATATTGCCAGTGCTAAAGCTGCTAGCAAACAATAATGAGTAATGCAAACAAATATCCATGAATATTCCTCTGAATTTCTCAGTGATTTCACTTTGGCTATGTTCATGACCCTTTAGTGTTTGCTTTCCAACACTTCTAGTGCAGAAAGTGAATTTCAAAGACTCATATGTGAGTTTTCACAGAGAAATTTGGACCCACAAATGTGTTTCAGTAGTGCTTGTGTGCATATCCACTCATGGAGCAGAAACCATACTATGTGACTTTAATAAATTACAACAAAGCAAGAAAACTCAAATGTCACATTTGCAATCTGTTCATAGAGCAAAAAGTTCCAAAAGATGAATCAATTAAATCTGAATAACATGTACAGAAATCATGGCTGGTTAACAGACATGCTGCTAAGAGAAGGAGGCTAAACTTGTTGCAAATTATTCTCTCAGCTTTACTACCAAATCTTTTTGAGATATCTTACTTAGGTGGTGGCAAATGCTGATTCTAATACAGGTTCCTGTGGCTCTGAGCTTTTGGCTAGAGTGATTGTCACTTCCCCTTGCATGTTCAGTTTTTTTTCCGACTGCATTAATTCTGCTCTCACTTAAAAATCCATTCATTTTTTGTGGTCAGAAGTTGTACGTAAAGTAGATGGGATGGAGGATGCTGTAAAAGGGAAAGTATAACTCACTCTTCATTGCATGCCTCCTGACCCCAGGAAGCATTAATAAATGAGCAAGCTTCTCTAGGCAGGAAGGTAGGGGCTGAAAGAGGACATCTCTGGTCAATTCCATTTCCCTTACTAATGTGAGTGACCCCAATTGCCTTATGGGTGTTCCTTGTTCCTTAGGAACAAAGAATGTCGGCCACACATACAGGATGGGGGACTCCGAAAAGGATTTGGGGTCCTTGTGCATAATCAGCTGAACATGAGCTCCCAATGTGACACTGTGGCTAAAAGAGCTAATGTGATCCTGGGATGCATAAACAGGAATCTCAAGCAGGAATAGAAATGTTATTTTATATCTGTATTTGGCAGTGGTGCGACTGCTGCTGGAATACTGTGTCCAGCTCTGATGGCCACCATTCAAGAAGGATGTTGAGAAATTGGAGAGGGCTCAGAGAAGAGCCGTGAGACTGATTAAAAGATTAGAAAACTTGCCTTATAGTGTGAGACTCAAGGAGCTCAATCTATTTAGTTTAACAAAGAGAAGGTTAAGGGGTGACGTGATCAGTCTATATACCTACATGGGGAACAAATATATTTTATAATGGGCTATTCAATCTAGCAGAGAAAAGTATAACACAATCCAATGGCTGGAAGTTGAAGATGAGACAAATTCAGACTTGAATTAGGGTGTAAACTTTTAACAATTAGCCTTTGGAACAATTTCCCAACTGTCCTGGTGGATTCTCCATCACTGACCATTTTTAAATCAGGATGGGATGTTTTTCCAAAAACTCTGCTGTAGGGATTGTTCTCTGGCCTGTGTTAAGCAGCACATCAGAGTTGATCATCATAATGGTCCCTTCTGGCCTTAGAATCTATCAATCTTGTAAGTGGAGTTGACTCCAGGAGCAGGATTTGGACTTGACTATGGGTGTTTTTTCTTTGGCTTTAAATCCTTCAAGGAGAAAGATGCCCTGCTGACGGTCATGGTGTGCTGATGTTCTGCCTTTTACATCACCATGAGCCAACTTCACTGCCTTAATTATTCTTCCTTTTTTGAGTGTACAGATCAGATACATAATCTAAATGTTTCAGGGTAGAAAGAAATTATTGGAATGTTACATACAAAATGAATGGATTTTATTTCCTATGGCTGCTTCTCATACAGCTTTATTATTGAATCACTCTAAGTAAGATGTACTTTAGTGTAACTAAAAGTGCTTTTGAGACCCCCCCGAGTTTGACATTTGGCATTTTTCGATGGGTGGATGTGTGTCTGTGTGAGATTATAAACATCATGTTTCATCAGTCGATAAAGATTTTAGTACAGAAAAGTGTAGTTCATTACATTACGTGCACAATTATTTGGCTTTTTTAATATAAAGGGCATTTTAAAACAGTTCAAAATCAATACGTTCTAATTCATAGAGAAATGTATGAGCATAACCATTGGGTAACCTAACTAACTGCACAGCTAACAGTGTGACTGAATGACACTAGAACCAGAATAATGACTTGTATCCTCTCTCTCTGTCTCTGTCTCTCTTTCTGCTGTCTTCAATAGAGCTTACATCATTTTGAACATGAATTATCGGTAACGTAAGCTAATGCTGATTTCTCTCTTTAAAGATGTTCTGTTTCTGTATGGGAAAGCTGAACACAGACCTTCTCATGGCATAAAAAAGGAACAAAGAAGAAGTAGATCATAAGCTACTTCATTAATTATTTTAATTAAATATAGCATCTTTAAAAACTATCACTACAATGATTTTGTTTGCATCCCATTCTCTTAGCAACCTTTAAACATGTAATTTTCACAATTGCTGTTGCTTTAAATGCATTACTGAGGTTTTTTTTGTTTCAAGTCAGGCTTCAGCTTTACAGTATCTGATAAACTTTCAATTTCTTGTAACAAACTCTTAACAAAAATGGCACCGTAAAAACCCTTGATAGGTGTTGGGAGTGTTCATTCATAAAATCCTAGGGATAAACAAATGATTCATTGGCCCTGAGCAGCGTCCTCCAACATATCTGTAGGGAAGGCCTCCTGCTCACCAAGCTCTTGCATCAAGTCACTTTCTCCCTGTAAATATTGTAAAGTATTTTCCTGCTGGACAGTAGCTGCAACTGCACCAAAGTATATTTAGGTGCGTGAGGATCTGTCTACACTGCAGTTAAACACCCATGGCTGGCCCATGTCAACTGACTCATGCTTGTGGGGCTGTAACACTTGCCATGTAGATGTTTGGGCTTGGGCTGGAGCCCAGGCTCTGGGACTCCACAATCAGGGGGGAAGGTCCCAGAGCCCGGCGTCCAGCCCCAAACATCTGCACAGCAATTTTACAGCCCTGCGAGCCTGAGTGATCAGACAAGGGTGTTTTAATTGCAGTGTAGACCTGCTCTAAGGGTAAGTTTACACTGCAGTGTAAGCCGAGCGTTAGTAGAACTCGAATTAGCAGACCCTGGTTTGTTAACCTAGGGTTTGAGTGTCTACCCTCAATTATAACCGCAGGTTAGGAATCCTTGAACCTCGGATCCCAACCTGGGGCTCCAGTGTCTACACAGCATTGTGTGGGCCCGAGTCCAACCACCCATATCCCAGACTTCTTGGCACCCTCTCCAGAATCCGGCCACTCCCACCCTTGTTTGTGGTGCAGTGTGGGGAAAACTGACTGTCCATCAAACTTGACTGTGCAGAGGACAAAGAAAGTTGGCCCATGGGATTGTGGCCTCCCAGAGCATGAGCCCAATGGGGCTGCATTTACACTGCAATGCAATACAGCTTGGACCCTCCACCAAGTTCTGTGCCGTTTGTATATAAATGGAAGGGTATTAGGCCTGACCTGGCATTCAAACCTTGGACTTACACTGCAGTGCAGACGTGCCCACAGGGACTCCAGTCACCGATTGACTCCGTCGCAGGGAGGAAGGACAGAGAGATGACTTGTTGCCTGACACTTTTATAAGATGTGCTGATTGAAATGAAATAACTGTTACATTTTATAAACTAGAGGCCAGGTCCTGCAAACCATTAGACACCGGTCAGTAGAGACACTCATGTAAGTGTATGACGGAATGGGCCCCAATGGAACAAATATGATGTTTGTAGGTGGTTCTCCCGCCTGACTTAGACACGGTTTCAATAGCTACATCTGTGTTAAGGCTAAATTGAGATTTAAATTGTCAGATCAACTAAAGTGCCTCCGTAATAGAGAAAAGCTGAGTTTCCCCTTACTGTACATTGGTGCTGGCAGTTCTGTTTCCAGTTCAGTCGTTACGTAGTATGTAGCTCTAAGGGCTTATAAATAGTGATCCATCATTAGATGTATGATGACTTTTCTACCTCTGTTCTCATCAAGTTTACACCTTTTTTTCCTTCTATGTTACTATTATCATTGTCCCTTTACAGAAGTCCAGCCTTTGTTGTTCATATTCAGTTTTGGACAACTCATCTTTTTAGCCTCTTTAGTCTGTTATCTTCTCTGTTCTTTGTCTATTGTGTTCTGAGTCTTTCTCTGTCCTATCCTATCAGTTTCTCTGTTTTGTCTCCCTGCAATCTCGTTCCTTACTCAGATGCTCTTGACTCTTTTGTGGCATATCATATTAATGGCTAATTCATTTGATCACAAGTTAAACAATAAGGATGTGGGATGACTTCACCTACCCTTTTGTTCTACTCTGACCACTTCAACCTTAATGCTTACCATCCTGCCTCAGCCTTTGCTGTGGATCACCATTTGTTCTTCCTTCTGCCATGAATTTTAAGTATCACTCTTCATAATATTGCCCCATACTCTGCTGATCATAAGTGAGCACATTAGTTAGTGAGACTCTAATGGTGGGGATAACTTTCCAATAAATGTTATTAATAAACTTAGATTTTCAGGTCCAGTTATCTGTGCTGGTATAAGGACAAATCAGATAGGCCAGTGAATTACACAGTGATGAATTTGGGCCATCTCTGATTTTCAAATATGTATTAACTTTGCTTCCAGCTCAATTACCAAAGAGAGGGATGGATTTAAAACAAAATCTCTGCAACAGAGAGGTGGTCCCACTTTGCCCAGTGTGGGAGTCCTTCTTTGAACACTGGCATTTCTACTGGAGAGGAGGAGAGTAAAACAAAGACTTGAAACAGCCACATATTTCGATAGGAACAGGCTGTTGTTTTCCCATCAGAGGATTGTCTCCCCCTTCCCCGCCTTGCAGGAGGTGCTGGCTTGTGAGGAAGGGACACTCTTGTCCAAGTGTCCGAAGTACAATAACCATAGGAATGCAGTGAAGTCACTGGCCAAATAAAATGCTTTTTGTATAAACATTCTCCTTTTTGAGGTAGATTTTTCCACATAGGAACAATCTTTAAAACTGACACAAATTGAAAATGTTTCAAACTAAGGTCCTTTCCTTCTAGAACTCAGCTTGTTTTATTACAGCACTTATTTTTTCACCACCACTTACTAGTGTGAGACTAAGCAGCAACAAGGAAGAATGGAACAAGTTGAGAAGGAAGTGATTGCTTCAGCTGCTTTCCTTGTGGCTGAGCATTGAATAACTTTTGAATGTCGTTCTGTGTGACTTAATTTCTTACGTAGTCATTGGGAGTGTTGAGTTAATGGAAATATGGCACATGTGGTTCTGCTCTGGTAACTATTGCTTCCCTTAGCCTCTTATCACTTCCGTTCATTGTCTGATAATGGCAGAGTTTTCACCTCTGTGTTCTCCAGATGTTCTCCATGTAAACCTGGCATGACTAAGTGCGATGCTGTATCTTTCACATTCCCCTCTTTCCTGAATATCTATTGATTAGCTCAAATCACCAAAAAGTACCTGGGTGATGGATGTAATCAGACCTCCTCTACCCCTTGCAGAATATGTGGTTTGTGTATTGGAAAGAGTCATCCTGTTATCTGGCAGAAGAGGGCACGCTATAAATAGGCTTGGCAGAATTCAATCTATATATATTTTTTTAATTTCAACTGATATCCATGTTAATTTTTAAGCATTTAATTCTTAGAGTAAAATTTTCACAGTTGCGCAGAATTTTGCGTTTAAGTTCTTATTTTTATTGATTTTAAATTTTCAGTGGCAGGCAAATATGGGGGTGGCAGACAGTGGGGGAGGTCAGACAATAATTATTTAAGTAATGTTCACATTCAAAAAGTTAAGGCTTTAAACTGTTAACACACACACACACCATCAACATCTGTCAAAATGTAAATACCTTAAACCAAACTAGTTCTCAAGCAGCTTTTTGCCTATATGCAAATTTTGATTATCCATAGAAATATTTTTTCATCTTTGTGTACAGTGAAATTGAAGTTTACCAAGATTTGCTGCTAAAAAATCAAATCCTTCCAAGCCTAACTAAATTTCCCAGCTCTGACTTTGTATGGCCATGCGATGTGGGGTTGCAAGGGAGCATATCTGAAACTCTCTGGCTCTTATGTGCCTGTATATTTTTGATGTAAGAGTGTAAAGTTGACACACTGAGTTACAGAAAGTGAAGCATATGTGTGATCTAGACCAGTGGTTCTCAACCAGGGGTCTGGGGCCCACCGTGGGGCTGTGAACAGGTTTCAGGGGGTCCGCCAAGCAGGCCAGCATTAGACTCACTGGGGCCCAGGGCAGAGAGCTGAAGCCCCACCATGTGGGACTGCAACCCCGGGGCCTGAGCCCCACCACCTGGGGCTGAAGTCGAAGCCTGAGCAACTTAGCTTTGTGGTGCCCCCTGTGGTGTGGGGCCCCAGGTGATTGTCCTGCTTGCTATCCCTGAACACCAGCCCTGGCTTTTATATGCAAAAAAACAGTTGTGGCACAGCTGGGTCAGGGAGTTTTTATAGTATATTGCAGGACCTCAGAAAGAAAAGGTTGAGAACTGATCTAGAACCCAGAATGTAGCAACGCAAGTCAAGATTTTTCAGTGCTAAAAGTGCCACTGGCCAGCACTCTGGTCTCTTTGTGGCCCTCGTAAGAACTTGTGATGCAGTGTAATCTATAAAAGGATATCACTACTCAATAACTAATTTTAATAGGAACTTGCCTTTTTCTATTTCTTAGAAAATGAGTCTCTTTATACCCCTTATCAATACTTTCATGTATAGCGAATGACCTAAAAACAGAATTTATGGACTGGAAAATCTGGCTAGAGGGAAAAAAACAGACTTTACAGTGTAGCTACATCTGGGACATAGTAAGAGACTTAATGCCACAGCCCAACTATTTTATTTATTGGGTCTGGCTTTGTGAGATGGGGGCAGACTGCTTCACTTGGTGTTAGCACTAAGAAACAAACCGCAGGAATCAGAGATGAGGGGAAAGTCCTGGAAATCATTTAATTTCATCCCTCAGCCAGCACAAGATTCTTATAATTTGTAGTTGTATGGCCCCTTGAGTCTCCAAGTAACTGGGCATCCAGGGCTTCCCTTCAAAGGTGACTTGGATGATCTCTTATCAGGGGACTGTATAGCCTGCACTTACAGGAGGATGGATGTGATCTCCTAGGTCTTTCTCGCATCTAATTTCTATGTCCTCCTTCTCATCAATCTGATTCCTATTTGCAATACTCAAGAAGTTACATATTTACTTGGGTAAATGACTTCTCTAGTTGATTTATTATTCTAGCAAGGTAGCTGCAATTATTAGATCAGCTTAGTCTTGTTTTTGGTCAGCTAATGTGGTGGTGGTGGTGGTTTCTTGTGTAATTACTGTCTCATTTTAACAGGAGTGTCAACTATGCCCCCGCCGCCACCACCAGCAGCTCCTCCACTCCCTCCTCCAATGGATGGGGCAGTGCATCCTGACCCTTCGCCTGCTGCCAGTGCCAGCCGAGAAGCCTTACTTAGCTCCATTCAAAACTTTCAGAAAGGAGCTTTGAAGAAAGCAGACACGTGTGACTACAGTGTTCCCAGGATCAGCTGAAGTTAACTCTTGACAGCAGGATCGGATATTTTTCCCTTGAACAAATGTCCTAAGTTGAGGCATGATCAGCCACTTCATGGTGGTCTATTATTTTGCAGCTGTTTGTTCAGAGCCATTTCAGCTTTTTCTAGAGAAATTTCTCCTTGTCCTTGAGTAGCAGCACTACGTTGTTTGAACTGCATTGCCATATTGTGGTAACTCTTGACTTCATTTATTCCAGTTAACTAAAGTTCATTTTAAGTGATTTTTGGGGAGGGAGGGAGGTAAAGCCATATTTTTACCATCTGAAAATAAGAACAAATATGAGGATACTGACTCAGTACATCTGATTCCATCCTACCCCTTGTTTCAAACACACTTGAAAATCTAATGTTAGTCTGCCCTATTTTCCTACAATTCCTTGTAGTTGGCACATTACATTTTTGCTGCATCAAAAACCAGCCATTTACTTTAGATAATTTTTTTTAAAAAAAGCACTTAATCCAAAGTGTAGTACACTGGTGAGGGAACTGTAGATTTAACTCTGTCTCTATGGCATATTCAACAGTGTAGCATGAATGCTTCTCATGCTTATATGTAACTAATGTTTAGGGTGGTCATTCCAACAGTACATGTAGCTGTTTCTAGTTACCACATGTGCTGGGGAAACAAACAGCCTGTTAATTCAGGCAATAAAATGGGAGTTAATTGGCACTGATTATTCAACACAAGTTCTGGATTGGGGAGTTTTCAACACAGGCAAATTTTGCATCCATATGAAATTAATCTTGTTCTTGGGGAAGTTGCAGAACACTTTGTTTTAAAATGCTGACTGAAAAGATCCTTTTATTCTATGATTTGCTTAAAACCTTAAACAAATTGCACTTTAAAGGATTATAGATAATCCATTTTAAATTCAAGTACACATCAGTGTTTACTATGCAGAGAATGTCATTGTGTATAAAGTTTCATGTAACCTGTGATATATCAGTCATATTTTTATTAAAATAAATGTCACTGGAATTCCTCCAGTCAGAGAATGAGGGTTACTGCTTTAAAATACGTTGGGCTGTAAAATAGAGAATCTAATGCAGCAGAAGCTTCTACACCCTGCATTTAAGTGATAAGTACTGAAATGACAGGCTAGTGCTACATCAGCTTGCTGACTGTCCATGCGAAGGGAAGGAATTCAGCTCCTTGGGTAGGTGAGTGAGGCTAATTCAGTTCCCTCCATGAAGATACAGTTTGGTACTGCATCTGACAGTGACTGATACATGGTAACAATGCTGACAGGCTGTGGTGATTCTCACTAGCTTCTCCTAAAACCATTGTTCTAGAGGGAAGCACTCTTAAAGTAACAGCAGTTGTCTAGTTTCTCTAAAATGACTTCACTGTTGCCTCCTTTTTTAAACACAGCACCTTTGCTATCTACTCTCATTTCCTTATTGGGGTTAGGAGTGGTTTTACAACATCCAAACAAGGGTTCCATTATTTCTGAAGTTAAGATCACTTAGCAATCAAGCTCTCTAACCTCTTACTAGGAGCTGTAGCTCACAAAAGCTTATGCTCAAATAAATTGGTTAGTCTCTAAGATGTCACAAGTCCTCCTTTTCTCTCTCTCTCTATATATATTTGTTTTTTTTTTTAAAGATGTTTTATTTTACCAGGACTTGATCATGGATTACTCCTGTGGTGAAACTGAGTGGATGAATGAGGAATAATTAAGATTAAAAATTTTTTGAACAGGTGCTGCTGTTAGTATAGTCAAAGGATTTAAACTGCTAAAAAGGGTTAAGACTCTAAATACTGATCTTCTAAAACTTATGTAGAGCAGCTTATCTTGGATTGAACAAAAATAGTCCATACTGACTTATTTCCTCTCTACACTCAGTTTCTTATCTGACCCAGGGAAAGCTCTAGTACTGGACACCATAAGGTATGAAAGCACCTGTACAGCACAAGGATTTTCTTGAGACTGATCTTGCACACAGTTGGCAGCTCCACAATCATAATAAATTAGCATTTTTAGAGAAACTGCACCTTGAGTCCTGCAGATCATTAGTTACAGCTGCCAAGAGCATGGGATTTGTTTTTTCTAAAAACTCACCTACACCCATTCTTCTTTTCTCCACCAAACTAGGGCAACCAATGTACTGCAGCCAGCATCTCTCATTGTCCCTTGCAATTTACCTCTCTTCTCCCCAAGTTCCACAGAAGCAACTCAGAGCACAGGTGACCCTTTATTTCTTTTACCATTTGTAAATGGCACAGAGGCAGGCTTATTTAGATACTGTTTTCCTAAGGCTTTTAATACAGATTCACACTTTACAGACCGAGTCTGGCACCCATACATGTAAGTGTGCTTAGCTAGGTAGAAGAAAGTAGCTGAGAGGGTGACCCACTAAACACAGATTAACTACATAAATACATTTAAAAGGTCACCTGAACTTTTCCTTCAGTACAAAGAGCTCAATAGAGCTATACAACATTATGAGTAAGTGTGTGTAGTCCATTCCATTAATGCTCTTAAGACACACACTTTGGAAGAGCACCATGTATATACAACCTAGATATTTAATATTTTCTTCACTGCAAATATGATATCTTTCACTTGAGGTAAGCAGTTGTCTTCCAAAATCTTTGCATAAGGCATAGGAACATCTGCACCTGTGAGACGCACAGCTGGAGCATCCAAATAGTTAAAGGCAGGTCCTGGAATAGAATAAAAAGGTCTTAGGAAAGGCCAATGTATTTTTAGCTACAGCTTTCATCAAAGGAGTTAGGGTCTCAAAGTGATCCATGGGCCAATCCCTTTACTCCTGGAGCCGTCCTTTGATGTGTTAACCCTAAACCTATAGACATTCTTGCTTAATTCTCACCATCTTCACACATTCATGATGCATCTGATGAAGTGGATTCTAGCCCACAAAAGCTTATGCCTAAATAAATTTATTAGTCTCTAAGGTGCCACAAGGATTCCTTGTTGTTTTTGCACCTTCAATGAAAGTTTATGGGGGGGGAGGGGAGCGGAAGATGTGTGTCCCACATTCCCTTCTAGGGCACATTACTAGGTTGCCTAACTCACTACCACCTACACAGCCTCTGCAAGCTCTGGCTCTAGGGGGATAGGCCACAGTAGAATAAAGGGGCAAAGGTTTTCACTGGTATGTGCTTTTGTTAAGTAAAATGGTTAAAAGTCTAACAGAAAACCTGAACCTTGATTTGACTAGAAATTTCCTTCTTTTCCTTCCCACAAAAACAGTTGTCTGGAGCAGCTCATGTATCATGAGAGTAGTATTTTTAAGGTTAGTGAGCTAACTTTGGAAACATACAATACAAAGTTAAATAAGCTTCAGAAGCTATTATGACCTACCTTCCATGATCCTAGCACAAATTTCAGCTCCTACTCCAAACTGCGGCCAGCCTCCTTCCACTGTTATAAGATGATTTGTCTTCACAACACTGGCTTCTATACTTTCCACATCCATTGGTCTAATGGTACGGAGGTTTACCACCTTAGAGAGAGTGTTAAGTGTTTTATTTTTGCAAGAGGTCCTTTAAGCCTATCTATAATTGTGTAAGTGAGTACTCTAACCTTGAACTTCATCTTATTACTTTGTTCTTATCCTCTCAAGGACAAGTGGCTAAAGAAAGGCAACACTTCAAACTGAGATCTAGGGCATTTCCTCCAACTGTGTGTATTCGGCAGCCATTATTTTAGCCATCTCTTTCCTCTGCAGAGGTACCTAAATTCTGTATTTCAGCTGTAGTCACACCCACAGTACAAAGAGGAACTACTCACTTTGTTCTAGGATAGGATGCTTCTACCTGCATGTAGAGGACTAATTTTAGCCACATCATCATGCTACAGACTCCTCTCACACCCTCCAGCATGTCAGAAGTCTGACTTTCTGGTCATCCCCTCCCTTCATACAGAGGTGTAAGCAGTGAGCCTTGCACACACATTCGCTTGTGTTTCTGCTTTAAGCCTCCTTGGATCAAGGCAAACAATAGCCCTTTCACTGTCTCTACGTAGTTTAAAATATGAACACACGCACAGAGCACATCCGTTTACCTTAACTAATTGATTTTAAGACCAATTAGTGAAAGGGCTAGATGCTAGAATCAATATAGACTTGACCTATATCAGTATGGCTTATAGCCTGTTCCTAAGAAGCTAGATCAATATAAGCCAGACTTATACTGATTTGAATGTCTACACAGCCTTTGATTTAACTGAATCAGTTAAAAATAAACCCCACTTTAAACTGCTACAACTGTTTAGACAAACCCCTGGTCACCTTTTAGGAATCCCACTAAATGTCATCCTGCCTAGCTGCAGCACTACTGCCATGCATAAACAGACCCTCTCAAACACAAGCTTCCCTTTTGCTTGTGATTTTGACTTACATACATGGTATTAATTTGGCCCCAGCTCTATGATGGGAAATCAGGGGACGGCAGATACATGCAAGGAACAAATTTGTCTCCATCATTGTTTAAATCAGTGATGAAAGAGTACTTTGAAGTGCAAACAGTTTACTAGACTTAATTTTGCATGGCCTTAGTTCAATTTTAAAAACAGTAAGGAATTTCTTCACTAGAGACTGGAATCCTCCCATAACGCACCTCACACTCCACACCTTCTTTGACAAGTACAGCAGCTGCTTCCAGACAGTGTCCAACAGATCTGGAGTGTGACACTAAAGTAACATGGGTTCCTGAAACACAGAAGTTGGTGATGGATCAAGTTACATAAGAGTTAACTACAGAAGTCTGGGTGTGGGAAGATCTAAGTAGCTATAAGTAGCTTTATGAGCTCAAGACAACACAGTCCAGTTTTGAAATAGTAAGTACATAAGGACTGAACATTGATTTAAATGGACTTTTTTAGTCTATTCAGAAGTGATTTATACATTAGGAATAGCCTGAAATTCAACATCTGAACTCATCCTGAGTTTGCGTATTTGAAGCGTCCGACACTTATACTCTGCATGCAGAATGAGTAGTAGCAACTTGCATGGTATGGCTATGAAGTTCTCATCACTGCAAACGAACTTATGTATAATAAGAAATTTGAACCACTGCAAGTTTGTTCAGCACCTCAAAGGTCACTAAGATTCTAAACAAAAGTGGTTGTCTACATGCAAGGAAGGAAGAGAAATGTGACAGATTTCACTCAGCAGCACATAGGTCTATTACCTGGTTCATTCCAGTCTTGATCCAGAATCGCACCTTTTTTCTAACAACCAAGATATTGTGACCAAAAGGATGGGACCAAGTGATGTTCTGTTTTATTAACATGAGGTTAGTACAGTATGTTAGAAGTTGAGTTTGGACTTTAGAATTCTGTCCCTTTAAATATTTTCCTATTCCACAGGAAGAGAGTGTTTTGTATGGGAAATATGCTATTAATTAAAGCGACCCAACAGAGTAGGAGAATTTGAGGATCAGATTATGTGAAGTGTTAAGAGTATTCTGAACTTACCTTGCCTTTCTATTTTGGCTTTTCCAATAGGAACAAGAAAGTCCTTTGACTGAGCTTCTTCTGACATTTCAAAAGGGACTCCGTACATCAATTCATTTTCCAGCATCACAACTGAAAAAACATCAAGTGCTTACTTGGTTAGTTTGATGCACTTCTCCAGATGAAAGCACTATACAGCATCATCCAGCCTCTCCTCCCTACTCTACCCTCCCCCCAAATTCCTAAAGTGTTAGGGGGCTCCATTATGCTAAACTCAGCTTACTTACAAGAGGGTGAACAATAAATGCAATAAAAGCATAGTTTGGGCAGCACATTTGTATCAGCATGAAAAATGACTCAGTTAACCTGAGCAGCCAGTAGTACAGCACTGTTTTAAAAGTTTGACTAAATGATCCTGTTTGTTAACATGGTAAAAAACAAAACAAAAAAACCCCCAAAACCGTAAGCATTTAAGTTTGGTGATTTGAGATATTCAGTGGTAGGCAGAAGCCTAAGACCTGATCCAACCACCTTTCCTATGAGCAGTCCCATTATTCATGTGGGAAAGAATGCAGGAGACTAGTTCCTTAATAGGGCAATACAGTATTAACTTTCTTTTTCTACTTGGTCACTACAGAAATTAAACATCTGGATCTCCCTATTCTCACTCTAAATTGAATTTAAACAAGAGGAACTAGGGCCAGGAGTTTGTGTAAGATTTCTCCCTTTAAGTTCCTGGAAGTCTGCAAAAAAGTCATATCATGTTTTAGGAAGATTTTAAAAAAGAGAACTTTGACATAATGGAACTCTCAACAATAGTAGTTAAACTCATTTGTATAGGAGACAGAACTTTCCCAGGAGGCAAGTCTAATACTCTGGAATGAATTCCACCAGGAACTAAAATCTATCACAAGCCATACCGCTTTCTGCTCCAAGTGCCAGGCACATTTCTCTGACTTTGCATTTTCTAATATAAACACAGAGTAATAGGTATTTATTAAAGACACGGTACCAAAACAAGACACTCCACTGCACATGCTTCTCTCTCTGGAGAGAGGAGGAGAATCACCACCAAGTGATAGATGCATAGTCATTTGTGCCTGCTAGCATTAAAGCCACTGTATGCAGCATGCGCCCTTAAAATTCCCAAGTTCATTGTTATGGTGTTAGTCTTTAAAAATCAATGCATCAAAGGTGCCCGATACTACAGTGATTTGTGCGGTATGATTAATGGACAGAGTAACTTTGACTTTTCTATTCTATGAATGTAGATTCAACAAGACGGCACTACTGAGTTAGTAACTAGTAATTTATAACTAGGGGAGTTAGAAGCTTGTGTGTGTAGTTTGTTTACCTGGGACACCTCAACTTCAATAGTGTTAATTTTCTGTGAAGTTCTTAACCACGCACTGAAGCTGAGCTAGGAAAGGCACAAATTGATCCTATAACTTGTGTTGAAGTCAGCTGCAGATACTCTATGCTAGGAAAAGTGTGCAGAGAGACCCTAATTGCTCCTATAAGGGCATGGAGAATCTTTGCAATAAAGCAGTGATTTTAAACAGTTTAGGAGTTAATCAAATATTTAAATTTGCTTTAAAAAAAATTCATTCAGAGACTAATTGGAGAATAAGTTTAAGCAGCTAGCGCTTAATCATTAGACCATGGTATTTATAAAAAGTTCCATTCACCTGGATTGTCATCCCGGACTGATGCTTTAAGTAGACCTTTTGCATCCTCTGAACTCCAAGGGCTGACTACTTTCAGTCCAGGACAATGCCCATACCAAGCAGCAAAGCACTGTGAATGCTGTGCTCCTACTCCAGCTGAGGCACCATTGGGACCTCTGAAGACAACTGGGACAGGCACTATGCCTGCAGACATGTAAAGTGTCTTGGCAGCAGAATTTATAACTTGATCAATTGCTTGCATGGAGAAGTTGAAGGTCATGAATTCACAAATCGGCCTCAACCCAGCCTGTTAAATTAAGACAGCTATATTAGTAGTTAAAACACTAGTTTAACTATCAAAATAGCAAAGTATTTTGCATTTAACATTTTTCTGTTAAATGAATTAAACCAAGAGAAAACTGATCCCACTTCAAAGTGTCAGAAATTACTTACCATAGCAGCACCTACAGCAATTCCTGTAAAGCCCATCTTAAAAAGAAAAAGAAACGAAGAATGAGTATGACTACAAAAAATGAGGGAGGAGGGATTGCTAGTTTATTCATACCTCTGATATAGGAGTATCTATTATTCTCTTGTCTCCATATTTCTTCCAGAGACCTCGGCTAACCTGCAATTAGCAAAGAAAATCTGGGTTGCTAAGATTATATTTCCAAATACTAGTTAATTCAGATAATAAACATGAGTCCACTCACCTTGTACGCACCATCATACTGGGCAACTTCCTCCCCCAACAGGAACACCGTCTCGTCCCTCTCCAGCTCCTCATCTAATGCCTGATTTAATGCATCGCGGACAGTCACCTGCGGAAGACGGATCAGCCGCTCAGGGCAAGTACCGGAGCGCAGCAAACCCGCGGCTCCCGGAGAGCGGCCACCGCGAGACCTGCGGGAGAGACGCTGCCCCCGGCCCGGCCCGGGCCCCCGCCGCGAAAACAGGTGGCGACGCCGCCAGCGCCTCGGCCAAGTGACGGACCCGGGCCCGCCCCACAACCCGCCGCTCTCCGCGGGCCTGGCCCGTTCCCAGCGGGAACGGGGGGGGGGGCTGCCCCTCCCCCCCCCGGTGACCCCGTTACCTGGGCGGCGGCCGGCGCGGTCCCGTGAATCCCGCGGCGCAGCTGCAGCAGCCGCCCCAGGCCCTGCGGAGAGACGGGACACGCGTTAACACAGAGCCGGCGGGGCGGGGGCGGGGGCAGCCGGCCCGGCCCTACCTGCTGGGGCCCGCCTCGCACCAGCCTCCTCAGTGCCCCTGCGGCAGCCGCCATCTTGCCCCTGCCCTCCGCCTGTCGGCCCCCTGCGTCACTGCGTCACACCCTGTCTGTCCAATCAAAGCCGGGACCGCCCCGTCACTGCCCGGCAGCCGGGCGCAGGGGGCGGAGCTACTCACTGTTATCGCGAGAAGAGACAGAAGCGGCCGCAGGGGATGTCTTTGCCTCGCTTCCGCCCTTCGGCGCATTGAGCGGGTTCCGCCAACCCGCGGGCCGAACGTCGTCTTGCCCTGCGAGTACGGTGAGCGGCTTGGACCAAAGTTAGTACGGAGACGCCATCCTTTACAGCTTTGCCTTCCCCGGAGGGCAGGAGCCCATGGAAGACTTGTCTCCAGCTGCTGATGTTGTCAGACTTCACTGGTTTGGCCTGACGCTGGCCACGCTGGGTGCTGCTTGCAGCTGGTTGTGGTTATGCTGAGAGAGGGGGAAGGGGATTTCAGCCTGGTGGGTGCGGGGAACACTTCAATCTCTTTGGTCATTGGATTACAGACCTAAAAGTGGCAATTCTTCAACAAAAAAAAAATTCAAAAACAGACTGCTGAATTGGAATTAATTTGCAAACTGGGTACAATTAACTTAGGCTTGAATAGAGACTGGGAGTGGATGGGTCATTACACAAAGTAAAACTACTTCCCCACGTTTATTCCCCCCCCCCCCCATTGTTCCTCACGTTCTTGTCAACTGCTGGAAATGGCCCACCTTGATTATCACTACAAAAGGTTCCCTCCCTCCCCACTCTTCTGCTGGTAATAGCTCACCTTACCTGATCACTCTGGTTACAGTGTGTATGGTAACTCCCGTTGTTATTTGTGCTGGAAATGGCCCAACTTGATTATCATACACATTGTAAGGAGAGTGCTCACTTTAGATAAGCTATTACCAGCAGGAGAGTGGGGTGGGGGGAGGTATTTTTTCATGCTTTGTGTGTATAAAAAGATCTTCTACACTTTCCACAGTATGCATCTGATGAAGTAAGCTGTAGCTCACGAAAGCTTATGCTCAAATAAATTGGTTAGTCTCTAAGGTGCCACAAGTACGCCTTTTCTTTTTGCGAATACAGACTAACACGGCTGTTACTCTGAAATCTGTGTATATAAATCTCCCCACTGTATTTCCCACTGCATGCATCCAGTGAAGTGAGCTGTAGCTCACGAAAGCTTATGCTCAAATAAATTTGTTAGTCTCTAAGGTGCCACAAGTCCTCCTGTTCTTTTTGGGGAAAAGTTGTTATCTTTGACCACGTAAAAAAATTAGAGTTAGTGTTTTTCGTTCAGAGATGTCATGCGCCCGTGCCTCGGCACAGGGATTTGAAACTTAGCAGGGTGGTTGCCGTAGCATCAGGGATGTGCCTGTGAAAATCTGCCCAAATCTGGCCACGTTATACACCTCTGTGGTTATGATAGGGACTGCAGGTTGAAAAAGTGATCTTGGCACTTGGAGTGAAAGGGACTGAGGTTTGCGATGGTCCTTACTGTCTGTGGGCACTTGTTCCACGCTCTGCTGGCTCTTGAGAAAGTGCTGAGTCCTGCACATGGGCTTCATTCTTGTAGAAGCAGAACGTTCCATTAGCCTAAAGGAGCAGAGCTGCAGGCCACAGGTCTCAGCCCAGAAGATGAGAGCAGCACTTGCATCCCACTGCCCAAGGTTCAGCTGGTACTGGGGAGACTTTGGTAGTTGCCTTGCACGATTCTGGCTGCTGTGCTGTGTCCCAGTGTTTGAGTGTGGTGTCAGACAGTGAAGTCACAAGACCACAACACAACACATTAATGGGGTTTCCAGACACCACCCTGGAGCCTGAAGTGGCACCCCTGGGACTGGGCTCTGCACAGCCAGGGTGTGTCTTCTGTGTCACACAGCGCCCATGCTGCTCCACAGGGACACTGTCTCCCTGTGATGTAGCCATGATGGCCCCAGAGCGCCTTGTGTCTATCTGAAAGTGAAGTTAATGAGATGGGAGAGATCCATCAAAATGGGGCTGGATCGGTGTATCCAAAGCAGGGGTCAGACTAGAAATATCACTGCTGGCACCACTCTTTAGGTGGAGCCTGTACAGGAAGGGTGGGCTCCACCTCAACCAACATGGAACCAGACTGCTGGCACTTCACAGTGAAAGTGTTGTAGAGCAGTTTTTAAACTAATGGCTGGCAGGCACACAGATGAACAGAATTTGTTGTGGAAGAGTCAGCATGGTTTCTGTAAAGGGAAATCCTGCCTCACCAATCTACTAGAATTCTGTGAGGGGGTCAACAAGCATGTGGACAAGGGGGATCCAGTGGCATAGTGTACTTAGGTATTCAGAAAGCCTTTAACAAGGTCCATTGCCAAAGGCTCTTAAGCAAAGTAAGCTGTCACGGGATAAGAGGGAAGGTACCTCTCATGGACTGGTAACTCAGTTAAAAGATAGGAAACACAGAGTAGGAATAAATGGTCAGTTTTCAGAACGGAGAGAGGTAAATAGTGGTGTCTCCCAGGGGTCTGTACTGGGACTATTGCTGTTCAACATATTCATAAATGATCTGGAAAAGAGGGTAAACAGTGAGGGGGCAAAATTTGCAAATGATACAAAACTACTCAAAACAGTTAAATCCCAGGCAGACTGCGAAGAACTACAACAAAAGCATCTCTCAAAACTGGGAAACAAAATGGCAGATGAAATTCAGTGTTGATAAATGCAAAGTAATGCACATTGGAAAACAGAATCCCAACTATACATATAACATGATGGGGTCTAAATTAGCTGCTACCACTCAAGAAAGAGATCTTGGAGTCATTGTGACTAGTCCTCTGATAACAAGACAGAAAATATTGTATTGCATCTATATAAATCCATGATACGCCCACATCTTGAATACTGCGTGCAGATGTGCTCGCCCAGTCTCAAAAAATATATATTGGAATTGGAAAAGGTTCAGTAAACGGCAACAAAACTGATCAGGGGTATGCAACGGCTTCTGTATGAGGAGAAATAATAAATCTGGGACTTTTCAGCTTGAAAAAGAGAGGACTAAGGGGAGATATGATTGAGGTCTATAAAATCATGACTGGTGTGGAGAAAGGAAATAGGGAAGTGTTATTTACTCCTTCTCCTAACACAGGAACTAGGGGGCACCCAATGAAATTAACAGGCAGCAGGCTGAAAGCAAACCAAAGGAAGCCTTCCCTCACACAAGGCACAGTCAACCTGTGGAACTCCTTGCCAGAGGCTGTTTAGCAGAAACCCAGTGGCGGTACAGGGATCGCTGCAGCGGGGAGAGGGGCAGGCACCAGGGGGCGGGGGCGGCGGCTGCTGCACCCCCCGGGCTTGAGGCGGGCCGGGGGCGGGGGGAGGAGTTCTCCCGGGCTCCGGCAGCGGGGGCGGGGCCGCGCGGCAGGAACGCGGGGGTCGCGCTCGGTTGGCCCCGCGGCGGTCGCCGGCCTCTCCGCAGCCCGGGAGCCGCGAGCGCAGCCGGTGAGTGGGGCCGGACGCCTGGGTCCCGTCCCCGGCGCTGGGGAGGGGCCGGACGCCTGGGTCCCGTCCCCGGCGCTGGGGCGCGGGGGAGGGGCCGGACGCCTGGGTCCCGTCCCCGGCGCGGGGCGGCCCCTGGGGGGCTTGTGTCGCAGAGCTCGGGAGAAGCGCCGGGGCCCGGGTGTCGGTTTTACCCTGGGGGGGGGGCTCCCCCTGCGAGCCGCGGGGGGAAAAGCTCCCACCCGCGGCCCTGGGCAGCCCGGGACCCCGGGGGAAGCCGTGGCTACTTCTCGCAGGCGGCCCCCCCGGGGGAGGCCTGATTTCCCTCCCCAGGCGGCCTCTTCCCCAGCAAATCGTGTTCGCCCATGGGTCTGATCAGTCTCTTCTTTACTGCGGTGTCAAGGGGTCGGCTGACTGGCCTGTAACGGCCGGGATCGCCTCTGGAGCCTCTGTTAAAAATCGGTGTGGCATTAGCGATATCCTCCAGCCACCTGGTACAGGAGCTGATTTAAATGATAGGTTAGGGAGAGGACAGTTAGCCCTTCTGCAGTTCCACATTTGAGTTCCTTCAGAATCCCATCTGGTCCTGGTGACTTTGTACTGTTCAGTTTATCCATTGGTTCCCAGACCCCCTCTAATAACACCTTTTTGAAATGGAAAATTTTGTAGCTAAAAGAAAAGGTCTGAATGCAGCCTTTGGGGTTTTTTTTTTTTTTTGACAAAAAATGTTTGATACAGCTCTCTCCGTCAAGAGTTGAGGGTGCTGTAAATTGTAATAAAGCAACTAAGCATGCAGAGATGAAAACATTAAGACCACCTATTGTGTGTGAATATTGTTTTCTTGTTTAAAGTTAAATAGCAAGAAAGAGAAATATTGATGGTCTGTAACCTATTTTAGAAAAAAAATTGGTTCTGGAAATGTATAAACCATGATTCATTGTGGAGTAAAGCAAAGCAGCTGAGTTACAACCCTTGAAGGGGGTTGAATTAAGGAAAAAGTCAAGTCATCAATATTTTAGTTAAGAATAATGCTGTGCTATGATTACATTTCCATTGTATTTGCAAATGTAGCTACTTCTTGTGCCAGCTTGGTTTTTTTTTAACTCAAGTGACTGCCTTAAATTTCTTCCATCCATTTTCTATGAAAATATTATCTCCCAAACTCTGTGCACAGCTGAGGCGCAGAGCAATTCAGGACAAATGTAACTATCTATACTTGGAGCTAGGACATTTGTTTCATCTATATATGTCTGAATGCCAAAGACAGTGACCTATCTTAAGTGGCTCTCTGGGAGCAGCTTGAATAGCGAAATGTGTTTAACCGTGTAGTGGGAGTGCGAGCTTTGCAACCTTTGATTTTTAAACCACCATCTTTAAGATGTTTGTACATTCTGGAATGATCTAGAAAGCCAAGGTTAATATTTTGATACTGGAGTAACCGTTAAAGACTGGAACTAGGAGTGACTTTTAGTTGATTTATTGGAGAGAAATGAGTAAGCTGTAGGCTCCAAAGCAGTTGTCTGTGGACAGTTGGTCTGCAAACAGCTGGCAGGTCACATGGTGCTGGCTGTCCTCTAGTCTAGCTGATAAATGACAGGGAAAGATAGCTAAAGATAGGAAACGCTTTCCTAACATTGTATTATTGGGGTGAAGTTGGAACAGGGCACACTCTCTTCTAAAATGGGATCCACACTGTGAGAAAACTTGAGAACCCCACTGGGTCAAATCTCTTCCAATCTGGCTTGAACCTTCATCCACAGTGTGGATGATACACATGAGAATGCTCAGATGGCTCTGATTATAATTTGTACTCTGAGCCTGCACTGTCTCTACCTCCCTGCCCCCCAGCTCCATTGAAGTAATGGGACGAATGACTGTAATAAGCGCTATGCCTAATAGTAAGGTAGTATAATAGATCTCTAGAGTCATGAAATATTAAACAACATTTACAGAAGCTGCACTGATATAAATGGGATCACACAGATTTGATATACTGGGATCACTGATCATTCATCAAACGGCCACTTGTCATCAGTCACTTGCTTTCCACTATTCGTTTTTGTTTTTTTTTGCCATTGCTTATTATGTGGTCAACATTCTGCACAAGAGTGGGGGAAATGGCTGTGGGCTAAATAGGGCTTAAGTGGAGTCTTATGCTAGCTTGCTGATTTTAACCCCGAGAGAGCATTCATTCTCTTTAGTTGTAGATAAGTTAACCACAGAATCTTTTAAGGTAAATCCCTTTAACTAAAATAATTCAATGCATTGGTTGAAAGGCAGAGCTGTCAAAGGCTTCCCTCTCCATTCTAGTCTGCCTCTAGATATTCATGATGCTTGAGTTGTACCTGACCAGAATAAATAATCAGTATACTGCTAAAAGAGGAACTGCCTAAAAGAGGAACCTAGAAACTTCCAGGCTAATTCTGATAAGGAAAGTTAATTGTTTCTGAGGCACTTGGCATTTGAACTTACCATGTGATGCAGTTTTAGTGCTGCTATCCAGTATTTCTAATGTGCTCCTCACTTTAATATTATCTTTGCCTAAGCAGATTTCTGTATGTCTAATGACTTTCAAATACTACACAAAATCAGTGTAGCTTATTGGATGCCCTTTATTTATTTATTTGACATGTGGGCTTGTCTGAGCTAATTGCTTTCATACATTATTCACCCTGGTGTTACATAGCAGTGCTGTGATCAAGTGAAGCCTTTTACCATGGTACAGACAGGAATATGTAATCTATTTCTTTCCCTTTATGATCACCCAAAAGGGTAGCTCTTTCTTGATTTAATCAATTCCCAGGGTTTGGAAGGTTGCAGTTGACTGGCATCAGCTACGTAATGGAAATTTGAAAAAGAAAATCTCTTACGTCGGAGAGCGTGTACTGTCTTCTTCCTTTTTAAAATGTTCGTGCTGCTTCACACCTACTTTGGAGACAGGAGGATCTCTTTTCCCATTGTTTGCTGTGCAGTTTAAGTAGCCAGCTGTCCTTGATGCTCACTGTTACCACAAGTCTGAGTGCTGCTCCTCTCCAGCGTTGTTAATGGGGAATTGATCAGAAACCCTCCCTGCTCTTTCTCCTTGTTGTAATGCAGCTGTGTGTTGCACTTTGTGCTCAGGTTGAAGGTTCTTAACAGCAAATAAAAGCTGTGAAGGCTTGTCTTCTGGACCACTAATTCCTTTACCGTGGATAAAATGCATTCTAGTATATGGCAGTCAAGCTGGTGTTCTAAGGTTGTTCCCACCTTTTAGATCAGCATTCGTTTGCTACTGCGCTGCCCTGCGGTGCTCGCCGCTGCACTGTGTCACTGCGGGGCGCCGAGGTGATTCATCCTGTTTAACCGGGTTGCGTTTCATAATGCGCACGAGGTGCCTATGGCAGTGCTAGCATCTTGTCAGCCACTTTGGTCGGGGGGGGAGGGAGGGAGGGAGCAGTCTCTCTATGCCCAAGTCCGTGTTCCAAGCCCTTCTGTAGTTTGCACAGATGGACCCAGGCCTTTGGGCCACCCTACTTCCCCTTGCTGATTAGGGTAGTGCAGCCTAGCAGCCGGAGTCCATACAATGCGCCCCCAGGGTAGTGCGGCCCAATGGCCAGAGTCAACCTAATTCCTCTCCCCTAGTGGGGTAATGCCACGTAGTGGCCAGAGTCCATATAACTCACTGTGTGGGGCCAGCTCCTCTCAAAGGAGGGTGGCCCAGGTAGGGGGTCCCAGGTCCACCCATTCCACTGGGTCCCAACCCAGGGCCCTGCAAGGGGTGAGTTCTCCTCACCAGTGGTCCGGTGGGGATCCTCCCAAAACACGCCGGCCTGAACGGTCTCAGCACCATTCCCCTTTAAGAACTCTCTGGGTCACTTCCTACCATATTCTCAGATTCTGGGTGTCTGGCCTTTGTGTCTCAGGGTGCAAGCCTCTTTTCTGCTGGAGAGAGCAACAAGCCTCCTTCCCCTCTGGTGATCCACCATGACTGAGCAGCCCTGCAGGCTTTTATACCTGACTTCCAGGTGGAGCATGCCTGGGCATGGCTTCCTCCGCTAGGAGGGAAGGATTAACCACCGCTGTACCAGTGTGGTGCCAATCCGCACCGTCACAGTGCTGAATTGGACACTGAAGCTCTTTCATTCTGAGATGCAGTGCGTTCTGTGGCTATATCACAGTTCTCCACGTGCCTGGCTGACCTTTTGAGAGAGAGCCATTGTGCTCTGCTGTTGGGCCTATTTTGAGCAGAAAGCATTGAACGATTCCACATTCTTCTGAAGTGGGTGATATGGACCCCCTGTTTGCTAGGGAGTAAAGAGAAGAGCAGATTCTTTTTGGGTCTGAGTTGGAAGAGGTACAGAAGAATGTAGGGTTTTGTCTCAGCCAGAGCTTTGTGATTTCATTTGCTGGGTGATCGTCAATTGGAGTGCAGTAAGGAGACTGAATACTGCAGCAGATCTTATTTGCTAACAACGGGGCTTGTAAAACATGTCTGTATGTATTTGTTTTTAAAAAGCTCTCATAAGTAGGATTATTTTTGTACCAAACTGCTTATAGATTAGAGTTTTTTTTTTTTTTTTTTTTTTTTAAGGCCAGAAGGGATCTCATGCAAATTCAAGGCACTAGGCATTCACCCATCATTCCTGGAGTGGAGGCAGTCATTTCCCTGGCTGTGTGAGTGAACGCTGTTGAGGATATCTCTTAGAAAGTTATTGTTAAAACTTGTTTTCAAACCATTCTTGTTGAAGTATTGTTGAAAATGTATTCTGATTCATTTATAAAAATGCATTGAAAAGTAAAGTGCTTTGCAAGTTTCTATGGCAGCTGCGAAATCAGCTTGGGCTCTGATTTCACACTTTGTGGTTCACACTCTTGCAGCCAAGTTGCAGTCCCCTCTAATGAAGCATTAACTCCAGTGAGATTCTCACTGTTTTTTAAACACAGTGACGCCTCGTGGGTTTGTGTTTCTGTACAATTTTATGCAGAATGGCTGATTAATACCATTGAAATTATAATTATATATCTGTGTGTGTATGTACCTATAGATATAGAAGATGACCACATATTTCACTTGGGCAAAAGAGAAATGGTTTAACAAGTAGTCCCAGTTACATAAATCAGAAATTTTATTTACCCACCTATTGAGATGGACTTTCAGCCAGATAGGTGGGTAAATAAGTTTCTGATTTATGTAACTGGGACTACTTATTAAACCATGTCTCTTTTGCCCAAGTCAAATATGTGGTCGTCTTCTCCGTTTCAATCATCTTCAAAGACAGACTTATTGTTTAACAAAACAGGACTGCTTAGGACAGCCTACAAAGTGATTACCAGTTGCTTCTAGAGACAGCAGTCTGTTGAGTAACAGTGAAGGATATGCTGGAAGGTTCAGATAGGGAAGTTCTCCTTTGTTAGATACCTGTACCGGTGTGGCTTTGTAGTTGAATGCAAGAGACCGGTTTATGGCACAAGTCTGTCTTTGATTAGAAATATTCTGCTCTGTTCTTGTAAGTACTTACAGTCTGCTACTTTTTGCTTTTTTCCCAACCTGCAGGGGGAAATAGGAGGTGAATTGTGTGTCCTCCTAGCAGCCTTCAATTAAACTCAGACTGCCATAGATCAAACAACAGAACAGATGGATAATGGAGACTGGGGATATATGGTAAGTGATCCAATATAAAGATGTGTGCATGCTGAAAAATAGAATTGGGCTTTCCAGATTTTTAGGTCGAATCTCTTGGCCTTGTGTATAGACCCAGAGTTTAATGTTGAGTGAAGAAAATGAATTTAGTAAAAATAATATAAGCAGATAGGTTTGTTTTTAATGTTTCATTTCATATTGTGTGTTGGGACAGTTCATGTTCTTAATCTTCAGCCACGTAGTAGTAATTATTAAACACAACAGCAAGAAGAGGGCTATATTGCTCCTAAAAAGATACAATTTGACACTGGGCTCGAAAGCCACCTTTCTGGTATACAAAGTTGAAAAAAATATGTTCTCCCTGCCTGCTCCTTTAATTACTTTGCTGTCATTTTATTTGGAAAAATATTCTTGCTTCTTAAACTTCATCTTTCATCACAAAACTAGACACACACCTCTTATTTTTCCTTCTCTCTTCTTTCTCTAAACATCCCGTTCCCTTCTGTCTGTCTGCCTATCTGGCTGGCCCTCTGCCCTCATTGTCAGAGTCAGTGCCCAGGATCGTGCCCTATCCTTTTTCTCCCCTTCCTTTTTCCGTGCGATCTGGCTGCTGTAGCTGCAGGCTAGCTCTACGGCTCTGGCCCCTCCTCTACACAGCAGTACTGTTTGCGTGATAGAGTTTTCTTTATGATGTCCCCTAGCTGCACCTTTGAATGGAAGCTCTTGGTCCTAGATCTAAAATTACATTACATCCTTTCATTTTTTCTGGAAAGAGGTTTTGTACCTGCTAAACTAGTTCCTTCTCGAGTAAAAGGGATATTGTGAAGGCAAGGAGCCAGAGGTGGAATTCTGACTCGTACCTTCGGGAAATCACTTACGCTGTGCATCAGTCTCTTCATCTGTAAAAATGGAGAAAATATTTACTTTGCAGAAGATGAAATAGTTATGTGACAGTGAGCTCTGGGCTTTAGTTAATACTTGTAAAGCACTTTGAAAATATGCTTTCTAAGTTGCCGGGTGTGGATTATGGCTAGGTTTCTTGAATTTATTCCTGTATAACACCATTGGTAGGTTTCAAGCTGAACAGTTGCAATTCTTTCTAGAGCCAGCAGCTTTCTCACAGCAACTGCCATGTGTTGGTGATAAGAAATCTCTCGTGGTAGTTTGATAAACTCTGGAATTTCTTTCTTTCTAGATGACTGATCCAGTCACAATAAATGTGGGTGGACACTTGTATACAACATCCCTCACCACTCTAACGAGATATCCCGATTCAATGCTTGGGGCCATGTTCGGGGGAGACTTCCCCACTGCCAGGGACTCTCAGGGCAATTACTTCATTGACCGAGATGGACCACTTTTCCGGTATGTTCTTAACTTTTTAAGGACTTCAGAGTTGACTTTGCCACTGGACTTCAAGGAATTTGACTTGCTTCGAAAAGAAGCAGATTTTTATCAAATTGAACCCCTAATCCAGTGTCTTAATGACCCCAAGCCTTTGTATCCTGTGGATACCTTTGAGGAAGTAGTGGAGCTGTCCAGCACACGGAAACTTTCCAAATACTCCAATCCAGTGGCAGTAATCATAACTCAGTTAACCATCACAACTAAGGTCCATTCATTACTGGAAGGCATTTCAAACCACTTTACCAAGTGGAATAAGCACATGATGGACACAAGAGACTGCCAAGTTTCCTTTACTTTTGGGCCATGTGATTACCACCAGGAAGTTTCCCTCAGAGTCCATCTGATGGAGTACATTACAAAACAAGGTTTCTCTATCAGAAATACAAGAGTTCACCATATGAGCGAGCGGGCCAATGAAAATACAGTGGAGCACAACTGGACTTTCTGTAGACTGGCTCGGAAAACGGATGACTGATGTATGACTCCACAGATGTCATTTCAGTGATTACACACAACTTCCTGGAACAGCATACCTGAGAGAATCTGGTTTTGACTAAAGCAACAGCATGGGCTTTTTTATGAGACTATTAATAACCATTAAGGACTGGAGAAGTTACATGCTTTAGCAAATCCGTTTTTTGTCTTGTCCAGAAAAAGATATGCATGTGCCTGTTCACACCGTTAAGACACTTTTTTTTTTTTTTTTTTAAAGAGGGGGTCTTAAATATCAGTATGGTAGGACATTTTATGTCAGCTTTTTCGACCTAAAGTGCTAACTTCACCTATTTAAATGGTCTCTAATCCATTTAATGCTAAAACACTCAGAGTAAAGAACAAACAGGATTTAAGATGCAGATGGGGGAAAGGCTAGCATCATGTAAACTAACCTAGTTTCTAAATCAATAAACAGTATTGTAATATTTTAGGAAAACAAATCCTACCCTTCTAAAGTACTTGTTAAGTATGGCTTTTTACAGTTATGACAACTGTTTTTCTATGCATATAAATCAAGCAACCAAATATCTGTAGCCATGAAAATGTGATTAGAAATATTTATACTGGATTCTGAATGCAAAATATCCCTGTGGTAGAATTCATACTTTTAATGCCTGGTGCAATATTATTCCCAAGTGTAATGCCTGCCAGCAAGAAGCTAATAAAAATGTCAAATATCGAAATAAAGCTTGTATTTTTTGTCTTCTCCTCTCCTTTTTTATTCTAGGAAAAAGGGGAGAGTAAGGTATATCAATACAGGAAAGTGAAACTGGACAGGCTACTACTTTCCATATTCTGGTGCATAGGAATATTAGCTCACTCTTAACATTCAATTTAGTGGACCTTGTATCATCATATTTCCATAGGGATAATTTCCAAATTGAAAATTAAGAGGAGAAGTTATACATTTTGACTAATGGGAAGTTGGAAATGACTAATGCTAGTTAAAGGATGCTAATCCAGGGTACATCTAGAGTCTGAATAACTATAACCTGGTGGGAAACATTATCCAGTTTCAAAATATTCATCAAATCAATTGCCAGCACGTCTCAGAGCTCTCATCACCCTGCACAGGGCTGCTTTTGTTGAAGTGGATGGGACTCTGGCTCCGCATTCTTATCTCCCAATTCTCTAGACAGTGCTCCTGCCTCTTTTATGCATTCTGTAGAATTATGCATAAAAGATACTAACAAACAGGAATCAAAGTTAGAAGACACTGAAATAAATAAACTTGGTTTCTGCTTTGAGTGACTAGGCCAGTGCAATTCTGCTTACTCCTCTTTCTAGGTTGTAATGTTTCTGTCTGCCTTGAATAATTCACGATCATCTCTAGATATATAAACTTCCTATTTACCTGGTCTAACTGATCTGGCCAGTATGGACCCCAGCATCCCGAGTATGGTCAGAGAGAGCCTGGGCTTTGCAGCCTGGGCTACCACTTTAGCAACTTTTTGGTTGGGCTTAGGGTATGTCTACACTGCAATAAAACACAAACAGCTGGTCCATGTCAGCTGACTCACAGGGCTCGGGCTGCGGGGCTACAAAATTGCAGTGTAGATGTCCATACTTGGGCTCTGCGATACTGCAAAAGGAGGGAGCCCAGGCTGCAGACTGAGCCTGAACGTCTACGCTGCAGTCTTATAGCCCCGCAAACCCGAGTCAGCTGACATGGGGAAGTTACAGGTGTTTTATTGCAGTGTAAATATACCCTTAGAGTTCATGGACTTGGCAGTGGGTATGCACTTCTTATTCAGCTTGGCTCATTCACAATTCTCTGACCATGGAGACCTTTCTCAGTGCCATGTTTTTCTTTGGTCCTATCTTCACCTCCCTTTTTATTGGTGCTTAGGGGATGGGTTTTTTTTGTTTTGTTTGTTAGCATGAAGTGATTTTTATTTTATTCAGATAGGAAAAGGCTGCTCTTAGGGTGAACTGAGGAAGCTCCAGCAAGCAGTTTCTGTTTCTTGCCAGGCAAACCCCAATATATGATCCCTGTAAAATAGTTTGTTTGCAACAGTACAAGAAAATCGTGAAATAAATAGTTCACAACATTTCTTCATTTATTTGCAATGTAATGCTTGGTTTAATCCCCGAATAGAAGATATCTGTTCTTTTTACTTGATAACCACAGACCCATTTAATAAGCAAACCCTAAATCACACACCCCGGTTGGAGGCTGAAGTTTACAGAAAGGATATCGGCAACTTTCATCATAATAGATCATTTTCACAAGTTGAAGCTGGCACTTACTGTGTGAGTTTTGATTGGTTATTTAAGTGCAGATAGTGCTCACTGCTCGATAAGATACAAGGAGGAATTCTGTCCTGTCCCAAAGAGTTTACATTTTAACAGCACTTTTAATCTAAGCAGCTGGTTTCAGAACCTATGGCTGTGACTTTACATTACTTTTGTTAACTTAAGTTCCTTGATTCTGTGCAATGCATTTTATGGGCTCAACAAACTTATGTCCCAGGCAGCAAGAAAGTAATTATTTTTAACCTGAATGTAATAAAACATTGAGAATCGGACTGCTAAATATGGCAGCTTATGCAGCTACTGTGAACATATTTAAAAAAAATAAAATAAAATAGGTAAATTCCTAATGGAACTCTGTATAACCACAGACATAGCTGAAACCTGTTTGGCTTTCTTCCATTCTTAAGTGTAAATGACTAAGAATTCCAGTTGATCTTTGCAGACAATATAGTGAACTGTTCTGTGTTACTCTTTATGATTATTTATAAAACACTGGCAGGGTGCTAACTAGTGCACCATACATGGAACCAAAGAAGATGTTGTCTGTGTCCCAAGCAGCTGTTGATCTTTATAGTTTTGACGGAGCACTCTGAAAAAGTGGTTTCAGGTACCTTGCATAGGCCCGGCTCACCTGTGGAAGAGGGAGCATATAGGAAGGTATCAGCAGTGACTAAGGAGAAACAATGATTTCTCAATAACTCAGAATGATCTTTGAAGTATAATTTTTTAAAAATATGCTACAGTAGTGTGTAATGCCCCCCAACCCGGTACCTGGGATCCCCCAACATTGTTAATATGCAGTGCTGCTCATCAAAATGAGGATGCAAAGCATTTAATTTTGGAAAGCACATTTTTAACTTGAATATTCACCAAAGGCAAACTTCAAATTTTGCATTCATTTGTAAAATTTGCTAGTGGTACCTGGTTTGCTGGGAAAAGTACTAAGGTAAAATCTTGTTTAAGTAGGTGAGCTGTGTTTTTAAATTAAAAAAGAAACCCCAATGTAGCATGAACAGTGATGTTAACTCACCGTTAATGTGATGTTAGAAATGAAGGCAGTGTGCTAAGAATACAGTGTGTGGGTGGGGGAAGAGGGAGGTTACCTTGTTTAAAACTTATACCCTCTACTGCTTAAACATAAACATACTTATTGATAAGTAGTGATAAAAGTACCCGTGAATATGCAGCCTGTTAATACAGAGTGTGTAACTATCATATCTTTCCATGGTGTTAAATTGTACATATATAGATTTTGTGCATGTTGTTTGCCTTTTCACAGTGGTAGTTCAGAGCTATAAATAATGTTCCAGCCAGAGGGCTGGACAGCTCTGGCTACTGTAATAGGAGATAGAGCCCCGGACCTCTAGATTGCCTGTTCAGATCTGGTCCTGGTCACTGGTGACTGAAAGACCATCTGATGGGTTTTAGGGTGGTCTTGTTGCAGCAGGGCTCATGACAAGACACCTTTTTAAATGGTACTAGTAGGCCTCTGCTGAGACTGCCAAGGAACGAAAGGGCCTGGCCAAACCCGGTCCCCACTTACAGGGCATTTCCTTCAGAAAAGGGCAGTGGCAGACTGGCACAGTAGTATGGAGAATCATGCAGTGGCGTTACTATGCTGTACCTATTATGTGCTTAAACTGGATTTCAGGCTCTAGCAGTGTCAGGCCAATGCCTTCTGCGAACGTTGAATTCACTGAACAACCAGTGCACATGCAGGTCTAAACTTATAAGGTTCCGATTACTGCACCAGAACCAAACCATGCTTCTTACTGGTTGTTCTGCGCATGGAACAAGGGCAGACGTGGCTCTGACGTCCTGCATGAGCAGCTCTTTATAGATGGACGTGTGGCTGTGCAATGCCCAACTGATGTCAGTACAGATCCATCCACATGGAGTCGATTGCTCGAGCAGAGCCTCAGTCATTAAACTCTCAGATTCTGAGCCGTGCATGTAATTGGCACAAGTCAATACTCCGTTCCAAGGAACACACTGTTGTTTTTAGCTTCTGGCCTCAAAATTCCAACCTGTCAGTCCACTTGCTTTCTCCTGGCTGTTTTCCATTTTTCAGCCTTGAATGTTATATGTCTAAATAATGTGTGCCTAAGCTAATGTGTAGGTGCCGGCAGTTTGTAGCCCACTGTCCTTACCTGTTGGTTGGTTGGGGATTTTTGAGCCCACTCGTAAAGCCGTTGGTAGATATGTCCGTCATAACAGCCAAGTGCAGAATTTAAACTTTCATCAGTGAAGTCGAAAGCATCCGCTAGTGGCACGGCATCATTCCTAGGGAAGCAAATGGACCGCACTCACTGCAGGGTTAACGAAATCCTTACCGCTTTGCAGGGGCCGAATGGGGGGAAACAATTTCATATTTGCTGTTGGGTATTTACTGTAGTGTGAAGAAACCTGGTGATTTAGGAACTAATGTTCCTGGTTTTTGGGAGAGATTATCGGCCAATATACCTTAATTTGTGAGAGGCAGATTGTCCATTATGCCGAGCCTTCTCTTCTCCCGTTGGGGTCAATGGCAGTTGAAGGTGCTTAGCACCTCCGTGGATTGGTCCCTGACTCAGGATTGAATCTTATGCGATGCACTTAAGCAGCAGGGCCTGCAGCTTGTGCCTTAAGGTGGCCTGATGGGCTTAAGTGGTTCCCAGACTTGTGCTGGCCCTCAGCACAGGGGTATTTTTCACTTCTAGATGGTATTTTACATGGCAATCGCATCTTGCCCCCACACAATTAAAAGCCGTGACACTGTCATTTTAATGAAATGCAAATCTTAATCATTGTATTAGGAATTCACTGCTTGATACTGCTGCCACTGGTAAAATAGTTATCTAAGAGATTTCATTTTACAAAGCTTTTAAACAGCATTACTAATTGGAAAAAAAAATTTGATAAGAGGATTTATTTTTTAAAATGACAATGTTTATTTCCCTCACAAAATGATGAAGTTCTGGTTTTAGTGCCTTTGAAAAATAAATGGAGGAAATTAAAGTGGAATTACAATAATATGCCTCCAAATTATATTTACTTGTTAGAAAAGCTGCTTAAAAAATAGGGTCTCAACAAGCGATGGATGTCGTCATCATATAAACAAAGAACTAAGCAATGGGTCAAATACCGTGTTGGTTTCAAAATGTCTGTAAATCTACACATGTTAAGACTTCCTCAGGGACACAGAGCTTTCAGTATATTGAGATAAACGTAATATATCGAATGGCTCATCCAGTATCCTAGTTCTGGCCCCAATTCAGAGAAGCATTTACGTATATGCTTGACTTTAAGCACCTAAGTAGTGACTAGTGATGAGGTGCTTAAATACTTCACTGGATCTTGGCCTCTGACAATAGCCAGTACCAGCTGCAGGAAATGCTGTACTAGGTAGTTCTGAAATAACCTGTGTGACGCTACATCCCCATATTTTTCATAGAAATATTGTTATGA